TAATGATGCTAAGCTAACCTTTTATTTATAAGCAACCAGATTTTAACTCCCAGATCAGAAAACACAGCTCAACATTACTAGTCACTAAATAGTATGTAGGGGTTTAATATGGTCCTATCATAAGCTCTTCCTCCCAAGTTTATTTGTGTCTTTGGTGATGTCCAGTTCAGCTGTATGAAATATATGTATATGTATTTTTTATTAATGTAATGTTTTTAGGTTAGCTCAATATCTATCGCTTGAACCTTTACTTTGCAATAATGGGGACTTTTAATTTTTCTCTGATAAGATTTAAAAAGGTCAGCAGGTATGACTCAATAGACACTTGTGTTGCCACGATACTAAAATTTCATGCTTGAATTTCATATTAAGAAAAAGGCCTGATACTCAATACCTGTTAGGAGCCTTTATCAAATAACAAAAGAAAAATGCAGACAGTAGTTGAACATTGATAGAGAGCATTAGTCAGCGTGAGTGACCCTGCTGCGTACACATATGTGGAATTCATCATTCATACTGAGAGCTGCTCTGCCTGCTGTCTACGGCTCCACTAACACATGTCCCAAACATTGTACGGAGCAAAACATCACAAATTCAGATGCTCGGGGAATGCTAACATGGCAGTGTCAGATTTCCCAGCTTCCACTCCTCTCTCCTGCGACAGGTCAAAGGTCAGCAGTTAAACGCCAGTGCCTCTGGTTTTTACTTCAGCTCAGGTGCCAGGTGCGGAAGAATGCAAAGAATTCCATGTAGGCCCTAAACTGTTATTACTCAGACTGGAGAGATATCTTCTGTAAACATTGTTATACAATGAACTTTACATTAGCATTACACAGATTCTACACTGAAACGTTAGTTAGTTGAACTACTAATACTACTACTATCAACTTTGAAAGTGCCAAAGGTCAAAAACAACTCAGAGAATGAACAGAGAGAAAACTGGTTTGTGTGGAACTATTTTTGAGTAAATTAAATAAAAATCTAATATTAAATGGTGACCATGTCTTTATTACTGCCTGCAGATATTTGAAATGCTGTGCTAGTGGTCCCGTTCAAGATGTGTGTAAAATCCCTCAGCCTCAGCCTGTTCAAGATAGTCCGTAGTCTTATTGAGTCTATTACACAAAACAAAACACTGAAACTTACAAACAAGGTAATATAAAAACTACGGTAGTAATCACAATAAACAATCTTTAAAAGTTTACAATAAAACAAATTCTTATTAATCTATAATTTCCTAAAACCCCAGTTAATTCAATGTTAAATCATCAATAACTTGAATATATTCATAATTGCCTGTTTTTGTCATCTAGGCTACTGTCACACACTCAAACTGTATGGTTCCTCCTGACAAAGACAAACAAAATGGCTGAGAATGTGGGAGGGGAGTCATCCATCTAAGCTCCCAGTGCGTCTGTCCAGAGCTCCATGCATTCCTCTGTTAATTTTCCCTCAGTGAACTGACCACACTGTCCCTGCTCCACTGGCCCCACCTCCGGAACAATCACATCTGCATCTGCTCGGAGAAACCAAGAACCGGAAGTACTTAAACTCCCTTTTGGCAATACCAGGACCAGAGGTATCAGAGGTGGGCTAACAGACATGGTACTCAAGAAGGAGAACTTTTACTGCAAAACAAAATAATACTCAAGATAGAAATCCAAATAACTGCTCAAGTAAAAGTCAAAAGACAAAATACATAATTCTATCGAAGAACTATGTGGAACATCTGCTTACTGTTTTTCATTTTGGTAACATGAGACAGACAAATCATAGATTGAGCAAATTCTCGTATTCCCAGCTAAACGATCAAAAATAAAGAACACCATTTTAGGTAAGGTGCAGGACACATTAAAACCATAAAATCATCTAATTTATAAAACAGACATTTAACTTGAGTAGCCACAGTAGCTATTTTGGATACTATAATTATTGAAATGAGAAGATAAAAGTACTGTGATATATATTCAGTAATAAGCCTGTCATGATAATTACTATAACAGTATTCAATACATGAAAGCTTGAACAATATATTTTTGAACACACTATTTATCTTGTGTACAGTTTCTTTGCAATAATGGGGAGGTTTTTGTTATTTTTGTGGTAAAATGATAAGATTTGAATTGTAAAAGATTGCTTAAGTAACTTTAATGGCTAATTATTGCTTTATTCTGCTATTTATTTGTTTCAGCTCTTTTATTGTCATAAAGTAGTTTCTATATTATTGTTTATCATGATGTGTATAACAATATACCATGTTTCAAAATTTGTTATCATGACAGGCCTATTTAGTAAAATGTAATCAAAATAAATGTAACCGAGTAGACATAACTCATTATTACCCCCCACTTCTGGTTAAGTGAAAATACAGTATGCAAAACCAAGACCAACTGTGTAAACAATAACAATGCAGAGTGGGTGTGACAACAACTGTAGCTGACCCCGTGTGGGTTTGACCGTGACCGCTCAGAGGGGTCCAGGCCCTGCCCAGCTCACTGAAGTGCTAATGGAGCGCTGTGTAGCAAATGTTTAGGGGCGGCTGTGGTGTTAAACAAACCGGGGTCAGTCCCATGTGTCCCTCAGCAACCGCTGCTGAAGCATCCTCCTGGGAACGCCGGCATTCCATGGAGCAAAGCTGGTTACAAAAACACCACAAGTTCTGACAAGCAGCCCATTCCTGAGCAACAACGCAAAAAAGTCTATCAGAGAAGCATAGTCCACACGGCTTGGGACTATCAAATAGATTAGGGTTTTTAATGCAGTGTAATGAGTGAGGGCTTTGTGTATTCTGGAAAACAGCTTAAATCTGTCAACTTGATAAAAGGGTTTCATGACTGCTGAAATATTGTGTTGGAGTCTGACATCTGATTCTGAAAACACAAGTCACAGATAAGGGGTCAGTGTTGTTTTGCTTGTTCCTCCTGCCATGTCTGCCAATATGTTAAATGAGATATTCAGTTGTCATGCCAGTCATGTCAGTTCAGTCAATGTTACTGTTAAAGCAAATAAGCATTGTATGCAATATTACAATTGAGCATAGCTCCTACCAAGATTTGTGTCTTTATTTTGTCTGATTAAAAAATTTATAAAATAAAAATGTCTTTCAGTAATATTTTTTGAACAAGAATTCTTGCCATGAAAAAAGTTTACTTTCTTCCTCGCAAGTCTAACAGACAATTATCTATGGAATTCTCAATTAAAAAGACCCATGAATATCACTGACAATTAGAAATCACTGAATGCTGATATCAGTTAAAACAATTAATCATACTGACTTTAATTGTGCACTAGACTGGAAACACCAGAACTGCCTTGTCTGGTTTAAGTATCCAGCATTGCCAATACTATGTTACAGAATATTATGTCATAGCTCATAGCATAGTTCCAATCATGTGTATCTGAACATTAGATTGTTTCAGTTTCACTAATATCCCTCTGTTTTGGGTGCAACAAATACAATACATTATTATTAGACAAAGAGCAGACGAGAAAGTGAAAGAAACTTTTTTCCCACAAAACCAATCTCCCCTGACAGGATTAAAACACAACTGCAAACACTGGATGAGAAATGTTATTGGTAGCAACACACAGCAGTCAACTAAGTCAGTGGAGCCTTGAAATAAAGCCACCATGATCTAGATTTTCAGATTAGCAAAATAAATCAAAACAATAACAACCTTACAACATTATCTTTGCTTTGGTATGTAAGCCAAAGCCCAACTAATTGACCACATTACTATTTAATTTATAGTTGAGCTGCCATTGCCAAACACTGATTGCCTAAGTCAGAATAGATGACACAATGGGCCTGTCAGTCCAACAGATCTGCAGCAATAGATGAGACAAGCTGTGACTGCATGACATTACTGAATTGGATTTCCGATTAGGAAGGTTTAATGTAATTATCTTGAGTACACTGGGCAGACTGAACTAAGTAACACACAGTGATGGTTGAATGCTTCACCTCCGGGCATCACAGCGACTCTGTTCTTCAAGATGGAGGTGGTTTGAGTGCGGTTCCCATGGGAGCAATAATCTGTTTTGATTGACAGTCAGCGCATCTGCATGTGATCAGTATTAAAATCAGGCTGGGGAAAGCAACATGCATTAATCATATGCCCTTGTTGGCTATAACTTGACAATGACTGTGTAACCACCTCAGTGCAAGAGGTATGGCATTGGCCATACCATAATACAGGATTTCTGTTGCAGAAGCTTGCAGACAGATGCAGTGGTGTTGTGCATGTAACTGTTCTTATAAATAGTAGAGATAGTATCAAAGAGGCAGAAGAAAAACAGGCCTTATTATGGCAATGTTTGTGGGCAAACATTTGGTTCCTCCTTTGTATGTCAATTAAGAATTCAACAATTTAAAAGGCATTACAAAGTAGTATTATAAATATTATTGATGGTTGGTCAAAACAACCATAATGTATTTAAAATATAAACATTCTTAACATTAATTTTCTTTGTTGTCTGTGTGAAAAGCTCATCTGACAGGTCTACAATTTGAATGAGTTAAGGTGTTTTCGGGGCTGAAACTACTGAGCAAACCACTGAAACCTTAGATGTGGTGTGCAACTGTGCAAGTATAAAACCACAACCAATGGGCCTATTTAACAAAACCATAGTCTACCACTATTTGTTCAATGACTTGGATAGGACACTGGCTGTATTGATCTATTCCCAATGAATTCTTGCATAGACTGGTCATTTACCGTTACCTGAACTACATGTGGAGATTATTTATACATCACAGGGCTAATGTACTTTATGCAACTCATGGCTGGAGAAGCTAACAAAGACGCAGCACTACGTTGGACAGTGTCAAGCCCCAAAGAAAGCATTGCTGTATTGAACTAGCTAACCTGTTCACAAGTGGTAAGACGCACAAGCTTTACGCAAACGAAAACGTAAACCTTCAAGTAACATCCAAGACTCAGCTTCCTAGTCTATTCCCAGTCATCCCTTTCTTCCATATGTCCAATGTGGAGCCTTACCTAAGCAGACTAGAGAGCGTGTGAGAGGAGGTGCCGCTGTTGCCGCTTCCCCCGGTGCCAGAAGATCCACCGCTAGCGCCAGCCGACTGCCTCTTCCCCGATAAAAGCTTTTCCACGGCAGCAAGATTTCCCGTGCGAGCCGCTTCGAGTAGCTCCTGCTCCTTCCCCATCGCGGATCTCAGACAAAATCAGAGAAAGGCGCGGGGAAGAGACAGGAAGAAGGGGTTTAGGTTGTGGTTAGTGAAATTCCTGTATGATTCCCGTTTTCTCGCTGCGTCCTCGGTTGTACCAAAAGGAAAAAAGCGCCCTTCTCCGCCGCTCTATCTGCCGCCTGTACCAATCCACGGTGCCGCTAGTATCCACAAGAGAAAAGTTTCGTACGGCAGTCGGCAGCCCAGTACCATGGACGAACAAACTTCCTCTGACCAGGCCCCCTGAGCTTGGTCCGTCACTTCCTTGAAACTACCCTTTCTTTCTGCATCTCCAACGCAAAACCCCACTGCGCTCTCACCGTGCTCTGCTCTTCCCCCGCCCTGCAGGCGTTTCATGGGGAAAGGTGGTAGAGGCGACTGGGTTAATTTGGGCATTTGGTTTATGGGTTTTGTTTCTTAGTGTTATAACAGTTTTACTATCCTTTATTATAAAATTTTTAAAAAGTAACTTTTGTGGTATCAACCCCGCAGTTTCTCCGTCAAAACAGGACACTTGAAAGGGTATTTTATTTCAATAAGTTTGTTTTATATTATTGTAGTGTTCACATTTTATGACCAATCGATTTTTTCTATGACAAAAAATAAAAGATAAGAACAATAAACTATGTTGACTTTGTGTTTCCTCTGAGTATCAATAAAGTTATTTGAAACCGGAAGCGGAAGTAAACATAAGAAATCAAAAGGGAAAATGCCGTGGACACCAATTTTCGAAAATCGTAACATGACTACAGTATGAGGCCAAGATAAGATTAAAATGTTTTAGCCGAGTTTAACGTGCAAACCTTTTGATAGCTATTATAACTATTTGATAGCTTGCGTGTGGAATTTGAATCCAGCTTTCAGAAAGTGAGTTCATTATTGTTAACTAGCTGTTGTCAGCGTCAGGCTACAGAAAAGGTAAGTGCAGATTTGATTTAAGTACTACATCATATGCGTTAATAATAACGTATAAATATTTTTTTCCATATCGTCGTCTGATTTCATCCCTTGCATGTTACAGTGTGGCAAGTGATTTTGTGGGCTTTGTCCATCATGGCAGACCCGGCAAGAATAAAACCGGAGGAGACTCCTGAGAATATATCTACCTCCTCACTCAAGGAAGAGGAACATCCAAAGTCAGATTATCAGCAAGAAAATGTCCAAGAAGTAGCCAGGCCTGTTGAAGAAATCAAAGAGTTAGAGTCTACAGAGCAGCCTAAATCAAGTGTTAAAGCTGTAGGTGTTTTTCCATTAAATGTAGTGTTTGTGTTTTTATGCCATGAATATTAGGATAAATCTGTGTTTTACCATGTGAACATTACTCCCAAGGAACCAGCTCCTGCTGTTGCTGAAGAGTATGAAAGCACCTCTGGTCAGCCTTCCTCTAAAAGACTGAAGGTAGAGCCCAGTCCTGCTCCTGGCCCTTCTACAGGCCCAGCTCCAGGTCCTGCTCCTGGTCCAGTTACAGGATCAGCTCCAGGTACTGCTCCAGGCCCAGACAAGAAGAAGGAGAAGCGCCACAAAGTAGACGAGGATGAGATTCAGAAGATGCAGTAAGTTTTCCAGGTTATAATTGATTGACTTGCAAGGACAACTTTTGTTTGTTAAACAATGTCGACATTACAGTGTTGCAATGCATGGGTCAAGAACAGCAGGGAAATGGGATGCAGTCAAGATCAAGATAAATTATACAATAAAGATTTAAAGACAAAAAGTAACTAACACAACACTGCAGGTAAACTGATTTCAGTATATTACATTTTTTGTAGACTGAAGTCACTTTACCTGCTATTTACTCTTATCCACATGCTGCACTGTTCTTAACCACAGTCAGAGCCACTTATTGTGCAAAGTTTTTGGTTTTACTCTGCTGACAAAGTTTTTGTTTATTGTAAATTGTTATAGTATCATTTGTTTTGATCAAGATGGCATCTTTGATGGCATGTTCCTATTTTCCTGCAGCAGTAATATGCAATGAAGATATATATTGATTGATGATATGATAATAAGATGAGCTCTGTCTCATGCAATTAGAGGAGGGATACGTGGTCCTGTTTCTGAAAGTCAATCATGTCAACTCAATATGTGCAAAAATATTTTGTATTAAAATTAACATGGGTTTTGTGTTAGGGTTTTAGTTTCATCCTTTTCTGAGGAGCAACTGAATCGTTATGAAATGTACAGACGATCTGCCTTCCCTAAAGCTGCCATTAAGAGGGTAAAACTTCAGAGTTGAATTTAGATCTTCCTGTGTTCTTGTGTTTCCTAATATTATAAAAGTAATCAATTTTCTTTGTCTTCATGTTCAGCTCATTCAGTCTATAACAGGATCATCTGTATCCCAGAATGTTGTAATTGCCATGTCCGGTATAGCAAAGGTTTTTGCTGGGGAAATTGTTGAAGAAGGTAAGCATTAAAGATAGAGTAACAACATGAGAAATATAATCAACATGAATGCGTAATTCATTATGTGATTTACCCACCCAGCTTTAGACGTCTGTGAGAAGTGGGGAGACACACCACCACTGCAGCCCAAACACATGAGGGAGGCAGTGAGGAGGTTGAAAAGTCGTGAACAGATTCCAAACACAAAGCATAAAAATATTATTTTTCATTGATGAAAAATACAATATTGGCATGTACTAGTGTTTATTCATTGTGTTTATGATGAGTAGCATTCTACGATGGATCAGTTCTTGTAAAAATGTGTTTGCATATTGCACAAATAAGTTTGTTTTAAGTATAACAACAATAAAAAACACATTTGTATTTCCTATTTGGGAGGGTTTTTAAAAATATGATTTCAAGTATATGTATTTATGTTTGACTTTAAAAGTTGTAACAGTCGAGGCTACTTTGATAACTAATACATTACCAAGTTAAATAATTAATAAACAGTAATCAACTTTTTTTCCAACACATATTTATTTTATCTTCCAAAAGAAAATTCACCTAGTACCTTTGGTTCACAGAACCAATTATGTTTTGTCACATGAAATAAACAATGCAAACGTAAAAATCACACGTAATTGTTAAAATACTGTCCACACGGTCTGTAACATTTGCATCAAATATGAAGATTTCACAATATTTTTCTGCATTTGTTATTTTACAAGTGCAAAATTTTGTGAATTATACCACACAAGTGGAAAAAACCACAAGGCATTATCTTACACAATACAGTTCAGTTAGTGCATCTTCACCCTGGTGGCAAGTTTGCTTTCGTATGACATTTTGCACTTTTGATTGTTAACATGTAAAAACCTGGCCTGCCTTAGTGTGCAAAAGAAGTCTAAAGCACCAGTTTATTGAATAAATGGGAAATGCTACATAATATTTTGACTGGTAGTAGGTAGCTACATGTTAAATCCAGTATAGAACTCAAATTATACCTGTATCTCTTGAAAATACAAAATAAATTATTATTTTTTGGCAATACTTAAAATAATAAAACCCTGTAAATTCATAAAAAATTTCATTACATAACATCTCATTATGGGAGTTAGCATCTAGGAGGAAACTACTATTTTTGATAAATCCATATTTTTTTAATTCTATTGCTTTTATATTGTACTTGTACATTACATTCCACAAAGAATGTAAATCAGTCATTCATAGTTTAAAGGCAAAAGGAGATGAAGCTTCAGATACATGTCCAGTTAGCACAGCAGACCACTAGGGGTCTCCAGTTAACCATGATAAATCCTACTGACAGTTGAGGAAATCACTGTGGCCATAAATAATTTGCAACTAATCAGGTAAAATGCTCCATCTCCAGAGGCAATGAATAAAATGTATGCAAATTAAAGTATGAATGAGATTTTCTTTCAATATTATCCATGTCACAGATTATCCAATGAAAGAACGATAAAGGGAAATAAATAAAAACTTAATGTGATTTATAAACAAAACAATACTGCCATTTGTGTTGTAACTGGCAGATATCCAAATAATAAATATTCATTTGGGTAGCACTTTGTAATAACTCCTCCTTATTAAGCATTTATTAAGCATTAATTAACACATTTGTTAATAATTAGTAAACTGTTAACTCTTAATTATTTCTCATCAGTTAATCATTTATAAATATATATGTTAATGCTTAATTTAGGGTTATTTAACTTGTACTTAATACATTTGTTAATTATTAGTAAGCAGTTAACCTCGTAATTACTTCTCATCAGTTAATTATTTATAGATGTATATGTTAATGCTTTGTCCATGGTGAAGAAGTCCATCTTACAGCCATTTGTTAAGCATTATTTAACACATTGGTTAATCATTTGTACACACTTACCTCTTAATTTTTTCACGTGATTTAATCGTTAGTAAATACATTATTTATCAAATTCTTAACCAACATACTCAAGAAATGATTTGTTACTCATTTTTTAATTGGGTTCATTCCCAGTATGCACTTGTACATGGTAGTTAGAATAGGTTAAGCAGGGAGTGTTTACGCTTACCACATGATGATCACCCTTCATGGATGTAATATGTTCTTCTAAAGGGAGACTTGTCTATGCTTTACAAAACATTTACAAATTACTTATTACGGTTTGCATGACTTAAGACATTCAAGACTGGAGGGTAATAAAACCACAACAGTGACAGAAAAAAAAAAAAAGAAAAGATTTTTAATACCATATCTATGCTTTACAAGTCACGAGAGTCTGAAATAAGTGATAATTCTTGTTCTAGTCTTAAGAAGGTATAAGCATCACAAAGTCCTTGAAAAAACACAAATTTATTGAAACCGACCATACAGGCGAGAAACTACATAAAACATGTAGACAATATATTATATCTCATTGTATTAAACTTCTACACGAGAGAGGCAGAGCAAAATCACTCCAGTGGTTCTTCCGTTTTACAGAGGTACGATACAACATACCCCAGTTACAGGGGTACAACACAAACACACACACAAAAAAATATGATTAGGCCTACTTATATTTTTTTGCTATGTCTTGTAGCAGACGCCCAAAAGCACCACGTGGATATTTGCGCACCAACCATTCATTCCACTCAATGAGTAGCCCTGTTCAAAACTGAATGCAAACTTCTTCTATTAAAAAAGAAGTGATGAAAGCACAGGTAGCTGTGCACACGTAGACTTTTTTTTTTTTTTTTTAAATTGACATTTATTTCAGTTCAGTTAATACTTGGAATGTATATTTTTTTGTATTGTAAGTTTGTCAGTTTAAATGAATGCATATTCTATTATTTTCTGTTGAAAAGAGTGTTCAATACAACCAGTTAAGTATTTGTTATTTTCTTTCCCTCTATGGTGTGGTTGCATGACATGTCCAATTTTTTTACATATTAATACAAACCTTAATAGGTCATTTGTAAATGTTTTGTAAAGCATAGACAATTCTCACTTTAGATCCCACAAAATACATAAGTAAGCAGTTATAACTGATGAGTTAATCATGAGTGAGCCTTAACAAATCATTTGTAAATGTTTAGTAGAGCATAGACAAGCTTCACTTCAGATGAGCTCCCAAAATATACTTAAGCAAGCAGTTATAACTGATGAGTTAATCATGAGAGAGCCTTTACAAGTAATTTGCTAATGTTTTGTAAAGCATAGACAAGTCTCCCTTTAGAAGAACATATTACATCCATGAAGGGTGATCATCATGTGGTAAGCGTAAACACTCCCTGCTTAACCTATTCTAACTAACATGTACAAGTGCTTAGTAACTGATCAATACTGGGAAATGACCCAATTAAGAAATGAGTAACAAATCATTAGTTGAGTATGTGGATTAAGAATTTCATAAATTTGGTTATAACATAACACTTTTAAATATTAATAGTTGATGAGTACTAATGAATTAGCAATGATTTACTAATGATGACTAAAGACATTAAATAATGTATTTACTAATGATTAAATTACGTGAAAAAATTAAGAGGTAAGTGTGTACAAATGATTAACCAATGTGTTAAATAATGCTTAACAAATGGCTGTAAGATGGACTTCTTCACCATGGACAAAGCATTAACATATATATCTATAAATGATTAACTGATGAGAAATAATTAACAGCTTTAACAGAGTTAACAGCTTACTAATGATTACCAAATGTGTTAATTCATGCTTAATGAATGTGTAATAAGGAGGAGTTATTATAAAGTGCTACCCATTTGTTATGGGTATTTCAAAGCAAGGGTTTCATGGCCAGCAGTATATTATGTTCATATGGTCTAACTTTAAATAGAACTTTGACTTCATAAGTGCATAAACAAAATAAATACTAAAACATAAAACTGTTTTGTAATACTATAAGACTGACTATGCAAAACATGTATTCAGCAAATAAATCTGGTTTGCTAATATAATCCCAAACTTCCATTGACCCACTTACAATACTAAAGCTGCTGTGCAACCTGGTGTCTACAGCTTAAAGGCATGTGTTTGGAGGTCATTAAACCACAGAGCACATAGTTTCACAGTAAAAAGAAATACCAAAAATTTCACAACTTCAAAGTAAAAAACAAACACTGAGGAATGAAAGTGTGCATGAGTAGATAAGAGTGAATTCATTTGCACTGATAAGTCCACCAATGTTGATGACATGCACCCGTCTCTCTTGGGAGCAGCATAGTTTTGCTCAAAAAGTGCAACCTTTTTCCTACTTGTAATTTTTACCAACACAACAAACAAATACATGACTTAACAACTAGATGAGTAAAAAATAAACACATTCTATGGAAGAAGTCACATTTTCAAGTCTGTGTTCTTAGTTGTACACCAAAACTGTAAAGCTTAACATGCATAATTTTCAGTAGGTTTGTTGTTTGTCAAGTGTCTTAAAATGCATTTACATCAGTGTGAGAAAAGACATGGAGATGCTACTTTAGAGTTACATAAAATAGTAATGAGTGAGATTTAAAGCTACCCACGCATGCTGTGGGAAACACTCACACCTCTATCTTACAATGATATTGTTACATTTGTGCTGTGAGGAAATCTAGATGGAGGCCTAGATTGTAGTACCATTTACTCTTACTCTTCACACACACAACATGCTGGTCGATAAAACTAATAAATAAGTGGCAAAATATTCTGAGGCAGAAAAACAGTACCTCACAGAGTGAAAGTGGGGTCATATTTCCTGACTTCTAACAGGAGGCGATCTCTTTCACTGAGCGCCTGAGTGAGAGCCGCCTGGACATCAGAGAGCTGATCTTCTGAGGTTTGATTCTGCAAAATAAATGACACAGTCACACTAAAATTCAGTTCAGATGTTATGTTCTGACTGACAGCAGCAGACACTGGTGCATTACACACACTGGTGACATTACAAACATCCAACAGTCAACGTAAAATAAAGAGGGGCTCTTGGCTGTAGTTTAAGTTAGACAAAGACAGTTAATTCAACAAGACATTTTTTTTTTTTTTTTCTGCAACCTGATATGAGTCATGCATGTTTGACTATTGTCAACATGTACATATAAAATACTCACTAAATGCTCCAAAATCAATATATAAAAAATACACTGCTTAGTAAAATCACTGTCTTACCCATTTCTGCTGGGATGCGCTATCCTGCTTTGAGCCTGTAATTGGAACATTTGTGATAGATTGGAGTTCTGTGCTTTCAGCTGCAATGAAAAATCCAGTAGTTTTAGTAGCAGCTTATTATACAACAAACATATTTCATGATAGTTACACACCCTTGACTCTCAGGATGCCATCTTCACCTCGCTCAAGCAACAGCTGATCTACAACGAATGTAGCTGGAACAGGCTGCGGGGCTGTGGGATAGATTCTTGGACCATCATCCTAAAATTGGTAACATTATAATTAATCTAAATTTTCACCGCAGTATTAATAATGACAACACAATAATCCAAACTGAGATATGAGCAGGAATATTCATAAATTTGTATTACAAATGTGCAAAAGAAAATGTTTCACTGATAAAAAATATGGCACTGGCAGGAACCTGATGTGGTTTAACATTTGTAGATTTTCCTTTTGATTATTTATTGTTAAAACATCATATAACTGACAGAAACTGTCCCGATTTGTCAATTTGAAATCACACACCATAATGAAAAATAACCAATAAGTAACATTGATAGCCCTACCCTTTACCTTTATAGTGATGGTGATATTATTCATGTGAAGCTTTAAGGGCTGACTATCTACTGCAAATTCATCCTCAAGAAAGGGGCCGATGTTGGCAAGAGTGGACGATAACAGCTCCACGTGGCAGTCCTTTAAACTCAGGTTCATGCAGCTCACACAGTCAGAGGAGTGCTCCACAGCACAGGTTCGGACAGTTACAGCAGGAACCTTTCTGGGCTTGTTCTGCTTCTGTAACACTCCAATGGGAACTGAGAACAGACAGAGAAGGTATTTTAGAACAATTAAGTGTTGCTAAATCATAATGATGCATAATAACAAAATTAACTAAGAACAGAAAATATTTAGATTTACCTTGTACTAGCCCAGCCAGAATGTCTGAACTCCTAATATTGCCCAGTTGTACAGGGACAAGATTCTGAGCTTCTGCAACAACTATCTGATCCTCTCCTTTTACTTCCATGGTACAGGCAATACCACTCAGAGTAAGCACGAATGCTGAGGCCTGTGGAAACACATCACATAAAGTTGGGTAAGATGCTTTCTTAAAATATATAGATGGATGCTTTGTTTGGCAACACAGTGGATGCATGCGCAGCCTGAGTGCAAAAAGCGCCACTGTCTATGCGGTTAACATGAATGAATGCAAGGCTAGCTAGCAATGTTGTCAGCGGACTTAAAGAGTTTATAAACGTATGATAAATTAAGAGAGAGCTAAGTGACCTAGTCTGATAATCCCGCTATAGTTTTATTTTATTTTTACTTAGTTCATTGATATTCATGTCGTATGTAAAATATTCCCTACCATATCTTGTGATACATCCTCTGTGCTTTGGGACAGAGAGCTGCTGAGGTCAGCAGATGACCCTCCGTCAGTGCCGAGTGCAGGGCTTGTTCGACTGCCCGGATTAATGCCTGTATTATTTGGCCGCATGGGCTCGACTCCTGACTCTGTACAGACAGGCACATTAACTTTAACTGTCACATTAAAGAGAGCATTTTAGTCAGCTTTAAGCACCTGAGCCGATTAGAACAACAAAACCATCACTGAGGTCACTATCCACAGAGAGGTTTTCATCAGGCAGACTGCCATCCAGAATGGCACTGTCAAAGGAATGCTGAGAGGGCGACTGCTTCAGGGAGCGCACACTGGGGGCAGGAGACGACTCCTCTGAGCGCTGGGCTGGCTCCCTGCACAGCAAAAACACAGAGTTCAGACACACTTCATGAAAATATCAGTCTCCTACTCAGTCACTGCCCAGAACACAGCGGGTCAGCCTTAACACTTACTTTGCTGGACTGAATAATTTGCTCATCCCGGAGCCCCTACTCAGCATACTGAAGGCATCTTTTGTAATGGAAAATGCTCCTTTGGTCAGGTCCAGGGAGGCACTGAGGGCATCTTTGGTCACGTCCTTGGTGACATTAATAGCGCTGGACAGTTCTCCTTCCAGGCTGAATGTGGATGGCTCGCGGGACAGGGTGGGTGACTGGACAGGTGACATGACAGGTGAGAGGGCAGGAGTGTTTACATCTAAACCATCTTCCTGTAGACCCTCCTCCACCGCCTCACACGCCTCCTCTACTGCCCCCTCCTGTTCATCCTGATCCAAGCCTGCGTCCCCTGTACTGACTGAGGTGACCCCATTCTCCTCTGGGACTAGGTCTGGGATGTGGTGGGAGGGTGAGAGGTCTGACTCACTGATACTGGGGCTGTCTGTCTCTGGAGTGTGCGGCACCTCTGGCTCTGGCTCTGTGCTCACGGGAGGCAACAGCAGCCCAACTTCTGCAGAATCCAGGAGCAGAGCACAACAAGCTGTTAAGGCTTCTACTTTGTCTACTTTAGCCTTTTTAACCTCATTGGTATCCCGCCCTAGTTCTGCTCCTAAACGTCCCAGGGCATCTTTCATTCTCAACAAAGCAACATACTGATAATGGTTGAGCCACATTTTGACTGGAGTGATAGCATGCACCAGAAAGTGAAAAGAGGCAAACTCCTCATTCACCTCTCCTTCATTTTGTCCATTGGTTTGACTGGAAAAAGCCAGTGGTCTACACATCCACACTGACACGGTTAAAGGCTCGACAAATGGTTGCGTTCTGCCTTTTGGAGATCTGCGCGCTCCATCAAAACCAAGTGTGACCCGGGACAGACTCAGGGACCAAATATCTTGGGACCTGGGCTGTTTTTGATCGAAAAGCTGTGTATCAGTTTCCTGTGAGTGTCTAAGGAAGACAGGTGGAAGAGGGTGAAAGGCAGTTTGATCTTTCTGGTTTGACACTTTGAAGAAATGGTTGGCAGTGAAGTTGTTGTAGATACTGCGGAGGTCAGCTCTGGTGCCATGAGGACAGTGGCGTGTATTGCTAACTGCCATTTGGGGCAGGGTAACAGACAAAGACTGGGGGCGTTCTGGGTGGTCCAAAATAGATGAATCTAGTGGAATTACCATCTATAAAGAATAAAAGAAATAATTTTTTGTATCTTCATCTCCATGGATCAACTTTAAAGATCAAGATTCAATCAATGCTGCATAATTAAATATATATGTTAACTGCTAAAAACAACAGTTACATGCACTTCTAAACATTTTTGTGAAGGTCTAAACTACCTTTAGTTGAGCTGCATCCATGCGAATGTCGACATGCTCCTCTGTTTTGCTGCTGTCTTGCAGATGATAAAAAGCTTTAACTTGATCTAAAGTGTGAAGAAGGCCTCGCGAGAACAGATTGATCCATAGAACACTGGCTGGATCCACACACAGTTGAATACCATTCAGCTGGGCGTACAGGCTTGACGTGGGCACTAAAACAAACACGGGAAAAAATTTATCACATATAAAGTCAATGCCACATGTTGGGCTTTAATGTCTATTATGAGAGGAACTATGTAACTGGTAAAGGGTCTGGCACATGCTTGTCTCGTTGGACATCTTTTTGCTTTATCTGGAATGTCCCGCTATGGCATAAAATCTAAGAATTACAGGTTTTCTTACTGGCTCTGGCTCACCTCTCCACAGACCTAACCTGTAACTTGACCTCTCCTCTCCACTGTGATTGTTGCAGTTTGATGCCATACTGTACATCTTTACATAGTCCACACTTAAACTATATTATGCATTGGTAAAATACAAGTTTTTATGCCCTGATTTCAGAAAGTCTGTGTCATCTGCAGCTTAAATAAAGCTGATTATTAGCTACAGATGCAGGATTACCAGCACTGAAATGGATTAATGAAAGAACACAACTTTGTTATGTTTTTGAAGAGGAAAAAGCCCAAAAAATGATATTTACAAATAGTATAAAGTTGAATATCTTGTTAATGAGCATTTACGGCAAATGTTTTACCTTCTAAATTAGAGTTGTATGGGAAGTAGTACTCTGTAAACTGCAGATGGATTGCCGGTATGTTGTCAGGCAAATGAAGAGCTTTACGGTTACAGCAAATAAAAGACTGTGTTCTTTTGTTCTGACGGCCTCTTGTGGACACCTAACAAAGACAAAAGAAAGACAAAAAAATCTAAGCTACAACATCCTGTTATGTATTGAATGGTTTCCGAAGACAGTTTTCAACACCTGTGCATGTAATTAATAAAAAAGGAACTGATAGTAAACTGATAGCTGTGGTCTGGTTTTCACTAAAATTAAAAAAGGGAGGCAATGGAGATAAATGTATAACTTTTTCTGTCAGTACATTTACAATAAAACTTCATTTTTAACTTTTCAAACAATTGAAATGGAATTATAACTGACTTTACTCCAAACAGACTATTCGATTACACGCCACAATAAAGAGTCCTTTGTTGCCTCTGGGTTACAAGTGGAGCCGATGCCTCCAGACAGCTAATCTCTCACACACCTCCTGTAAATTTGGGTTAATTAAGTCCTGGGCCAGGCACGTGAGACAAATATTAAGACAATAATCAACAGGGATTTTAGTGCAGATATACTCAAAATAAATGAATACTATTTACTGATTTAACCTTACATTATTATTATTACAATGAGGAGATAAGGAGTGACAGTGACCATTTGAAAAAAGAGAGTGGTACATTAAATTGTCCATGCTTGGGTTTAAAGGGGCTTTCCTATTGGTCTCCCTTGCGGGGCATAATGGTGTGGGCCTTTGATTACAGTACAGCATCTGTTGGGGAAGTAAATGTAATTATGCTGAAGGAGCCTTGCCTGGTGAATGTCAAAATCATCCATTCTGATCACCACCGAGCTCGACCGCAGCCGTTTCAATGAGGGCCCTGAAGAGGTAGCGTTTTTGTTGGATATTTGCTCTGATGCAGATGACTTCGGAGTAGACTGTTTATCTAAAGCATTAACAAAAACAAAGGTCATATTTATTTAACAAATTAAAGAATTCAACATATGTTTTTTAAAGGTCAGAACCTTGTCCTATTTTGGCAGGAGAGCCCTTGGTCGATGATGTACTCTCAGTGACTGGCCCAGGAAAACCAGAGGCCTCGGTTCGCCTCTGAAAGTCCTGGAGCAGCTTCCCTGCCCACTGCGCCTGGGCTTCCATGGCTGCATTGTGGCGCTCCCAGTGTTTACATCCATCCGCTGTAAGGAGTAACAATTACTGAGTATTACTGTGTATTTATCTGTACAAAATCTATTAAGTCATAACAAGTCAGTTCCCAATTAGCTTAGAGGCTAGTTAGCTATTCTACATTGTGAACCTGAGGAATTCTACACAGAATAACGGGACTGGTCTCCCTGCAATTATTCTGCTTGAGTAGTAATCCTCCTGTGTGTTGTGAATAGAGGCTGTGTTGGTGTGAAAGAAAGCACTACTGTGCTTTGGGGCAAATTGGTTAAATAATAAAGAAAAGGGGCAGTTGTCCATCTCACCAGGCCTGTGGACGGGGTAGAAGTCAAAGCCTAGCTTCTTAAAGGTGAGCTGCATGGAGCCCTGTGAGGCTGGCAGGGGCGGCTCTTCTGTTTGGAGTCACATGACAACAGTTATGTCCTGCTCCAGAAGGGTCGGTCTGTTTCATACTTTAATTTTATCTTACCTTCATCTGCTGAAGAACTATCATTGCATACGTGCAGGTCCAGTCTAGATATGAACGTGTGGTAAGAGGACTCTTTAACATCATACAAATCAAAGTACTGGCTCATACTGTTGGGGCTGCCAGTGGAGGCAGGAGGGGGTTCTGTCCAGAGACTATGCATCCCAGGAGATGTAGCAGCAGCCTACAAAATACATTTAAATAAAACCTCCAGGCATATAAGGCAATAGCACTTTGTTTGTTTAATAAAAAAAAACTGTATGCCACCTGCAATGATTCGGCAGTCATGTTTTTTCTCTGCTTAGCAGATTTTTCCATTGCCTCACTGAGAGACTTGGCATAGTGGATAATAGCTTTAAGTTGAGAATCAGTCAGGACCCACAAAAGGTCATCCAGAATAAAAAACAGTTTGGAAGCAAGCACGTTACAGTCCTTTATCTAAATTAAATAACAGAATGATTCATTAAATACATATAATCATTATGAAGTCATTATGAAGTTTCTGATATCTGGTCCAAACATACTCTCCGTTTCAGTGCAATACGAATACGACCCTGGTTGGTGATTAGACGTAGCGGTGTGCTGCCGAGGTCCTGATCATTGTTCTCAATAGCATCTGCCTCAATCCGCAGACTCTGCCAGTTTATTTCTTTAAAAGTTAACACCTGCAACATAATGTACAGTACAATGTAAATCTTAACATGTAATTATAGTGTCCAGTGCATTTTGTGAAAGAGTACAGTACCTCTCCTCTCTTTGGGTCAGTGATTCTGGTGTAACGAAGGTCACTGCGCTGCCATTTGGGGTTGAGGCTGCTGCCTTGGAGCTGCCACAGTTCAAAAGAGGCGTGAAAGGCACGAGCCTGAACTTTGATGGTGATTGAGTTGATTCTGATGGACATGCCCTCCACCACTTTCTCCGCAAAACCATATTCACTGTGAAAAGATTTAAAGAAATTTTAATTAAATGATTATTTAACAGACAAACATACAAAACTACAGCAATGAGCTCAATATGCTTCGTTCATACATACCTCTGACCTGCTGTAATTGCAATTGGAGATGGACCATTAGGGGGACGTGGTTCTTCACATGTTCTCATTTCTACTTCCACTTTGTCCAAGAACTACACAACGTGAGGCCACACGTGTTAAAAAAATGTAACATATGAACATATAAAAAATCAGATATTGACTGATTCTTACCAGACATATTGGGCTTGTTTTTAGCTTTGTCCATTGTATCTAAAAATAGCAGGATTGTAAGGACAAAAAAGTCAGTGAAGATATGTTTGAACAGCATTCTGCCCTATTTATGCGTTCTGTAGAAGGCACCAGCTCACACAGCGCTGCCCTGATCCTAACAATGAGCACTTTGTAACTGCTTCTGATTCAGTGAGAATACTTTGACAATATGCACATATGGCATGGAAATGTATTAAAATCAATTAAAAAGCCTGGCTATTCCTGGGCCTATCAAGATAACAAATTGCCACTGACACAACAACGTTAAAGCAGGATTATCCCCAGAAAACAATAAAAAATGTTTAATATGGTTAAAAAACGCAAACTGCAATAAATAAATAGCAACATAAAAACTTGAGTAGTTAGTGTACATATATAATGAGTCAGAAAAATTATGTATCCTATCCTCTACAGCTCAAATCAAAAAACAGAAAAACAACAAAAAAGTTCCCCACTAGTACGAAGAAGAAAGTAAGAAAAAGTCCACCCTACCACCAAAAAAAAAGAAAATTACTTATACAGTCATTATTGTGACAGGCCTAGCTATTCCTATAATTTCCTACGGACTTGTACACTGGTGACTAAAACATAACATTTTTGTGAAGGGCTGCATAGGGCTCCAGAGTCTCCAAGCCACATGTTGTAAACCTCAATTAAAAAGACCAAAGCATATAACTGACTATTAGACATGCCAGTATCTCAGTCTCAATTAAAATATGAGTAACATTTGAGTAATTGCCTAGCACTAATTTAGTGCAAGACGTACAAAAACAGCATGTTCTTTCACAAGGTCTTTGCAACATCATTCACACCTGCTCTACAATCAGGTCTGACAACTCAGAGACCTACTCTGATGGCAGCTTTGTTGCAGTAAACCCGAGTGACAGCAAGCCAGGTGGGCAGGTCCAGCATGTTCTGCAAAACCTCCTCATCCAACTCCAGGTTAGACAGCTGGCCCTCCCCTTTAAGGGTGCTCAAGTTGATTTTGTCAGGGGATAGATTCTTGGTGAACCTAGAGAGAAAGTACAAAACATAAAAGCTGCAGTTGAAAGTCAGAAAAATATAAAAGAAACTGTAGAGTCTACAGACTTAACTGGCACTTAACTTAACTACTGTATTAAGGAGGGATGTGGTAGTAGTAAAATGTATTCAGAAATACATGGCCATATTAATGTTCTCTTTCAAGGAATCGATCTAATATGTTGGTTTAAATCCAGTAAGTCGATGTATTTGTTTACAGTTTTAATCCTCTGCTTGATGCACTGCCATAGATTTAGGGACACAATTCTCATACATTTCTTAAGCACAATAACACAGGGTTTACAACTCTCTAATGTATGTGTCTTATCCATCCACAGGTCATGACAGCATGGATCAGTTGCATACACAGTTATAACAGCGTGCTAGCGTAGAACATAAGCAAAAGAAAGACACGGTGCATGGATGGATGTACACGATCTCAAGGAGATCTAGAATACATTAGTGAAGCAGGCTAACAGGCTAACCCCCACGAAGACACTTACCGTGACAAATGTTTCAGAATCTGCTTTTTGATGATCCCAGCCATTCTGTCTTTGCGCTGTGGTAACCGGGATAAGCGGCTTTATTTTGTTCTATAATAGTAACTAGCTCGTGGGGACATGAGTACAGTGCACAGCTGTAGCCGTGCGCATCTTGTTAGCCGCTGCTTTCTGTGCAGAGCCTCTGCTGCTGCTGCTCGAGGTACACCGGACAGAGAGCGGGCGAGCCCCCTGCTCTCTCGACCAAACACAGCGACCCGAGCGATACAACAGCGACATCTGCGGGACACACGAGGGCAAAACATGAACCCGAGCCCTCCAATCACGACAGGGGTTTATTTGTGCTATATTTACCCATGAACACCCTAAAGCGCCGACTCAAATAATGTGGAGTACCTATCATATAATGCCAAATTATTTTAAAGGAAATAGCTGTAGGCAAAATTCAGTAGTCAGCATACCTCTGATCTTATATCATGTCTTAAGGTATGTCTTAAATTACTATCATAAAACAACGTGCACGCGATCATTTGGTTTAGCGAAAATCATTTGGAAAGCCCTGTGTTTATTTTTGTCTCAGATTACGCACAGAGGGCTTTACGCAGCTGGGAACGGATTGCGTAGTAAATTTGGTCATGTGACCTGTGCACTGGGCCTTGCACATGCGCACTAGGCCGTGTAGTTGAGTTGTTATGACAAGCTGAGGCCTCGGACTAAATTAGGTGCGAAGCCCCGAGCTTTGTCGGGCAAAATCCGCAATGGAGGGTATGGACCTGGACCTAGACCAAGAGCTAATGCAGAAGTTCAGCTGCATGGGCACCACAGACAAAGACATACTGATCTCGGAGTTTCAGAGGCTGCTCGGCTTCCAGCTCAACCCTGCAGGATGCGCCTTCTTCCTGGATATGACGAACTGGTGAGTCCGAGGTCTGTGTGGCCTACGGTGCTGCCTTTAGAAGTTACCAAAGTGTCGATCATTTACTGCGGTGTTGCTTATACTCAAATATATTATAAGCCACAGGGGATTGATTCTTATTTCTCCCCTGACTCGTGATTATATCGCGATTTTTGTAAATGTGTCCAGGTTCAATTAATGCTAATGACGCTGTAGTTACAAACTCAAAGCTAGCTGAGTCAGACTCGACTCTTGCTTTACGAACAACTGCTGCTGGCGTCTCATTTTACATCACCCACCGTGTCACCCGATCAGCAGAGTTTAATGTTAAAGTCTCGGTGTATTATTGTATTAAATATACGTATGTGCTTTTTAGTTTATTCTATTCAAGCAAGGGGGCCGTGACTTTCATTTTATCCCCAGGTCACTGTACTAAAATATTCGTCTTTTTTTGAATAACAATCAATAAAAGAAACATTTGCATCGATAGTATAACACATTTGTTGCGATAATATGTGTTTTGAAGCTTCCGTTTTTATAAAATGTAGTCTGTAGAATACGTATTATACGTGTACTGTAATTACATAACCCAGACGAGCATGGCGGATGACTCAAGAGCTCGAAAAACACTTGATCTGTTAAACACTGATTACGGTGTGTTTCTTCTTCCTTTTTCTTTTCTTTTCTTTTTTTTTTTGTACATTTGTACAAAATAGACTTGTGACCATTTTACTGTCAAATTATTCAAACTAATTTGTTACACTTTTAAGTCATCTTATTAAGTCATTTTCACTGTATTAGTAGTAAGACTTAAATGTTGCGTGAGTTTAATGCCTTAATGTTTGTGGTTGTGTTCATGGAATCAGTGCTGTCTATAGTATTGTCACGTGACACATTCTGCAGCCCTCTTCTAAAAATAAACCTTTGCTTTCTACTGTAAATGGCCACGGGTCACGTGAATCTGCCCTGGCTTTGCTCCACATGATTTTAACTTCTCATTAAGTGCTTTAATATTGTACAGACATTTCACACTATTTCCCCTTCCTCTTCATCAGGAATCTACAGGCTGCTATTGGAGCATACTACGACTTTGAAAGCCCTAACATCAGTGCACCTTGTATGTCGCTGGTGAAAGATGTGACCATTGGTGAGGGTGAATCCATTCCTCCTGACACACCCTTTATTAAAACCTGGAGGATACAGAACACAGGTGAGTGTAATACACTTTCATAGTGAGCTCATTTGCTGTATGTGCTTGCTCTCATTCTACTGCATTATTCTTGTGTCCTCAGGCCCTGAGTCGTGGCCTCCTGGAGTGTGCCTGAAATATGTGGGGGGAGATCAGTTCGGACACGTAAACATGATGATGGTGCGCTCTCTCAACCCTCAAGAAATAGTGGATGTCAGTGTCCAAATGCAGAGCCCTTCATCTCCAGGCATGTACCAGGGCCAGTGGAGAATGTGCACAGCCACGGGACTTTACTTTGGAGGTGAGAAAAGCTCATGTTTTTGTCTGACAAGGGTCTAGTTTAGAAACATTGTTTAGACCTTAATAATACAAGTGCAATTTTGGGCTGCTCCCTCTGCTCTTGAAGTTTATGTGCTGTAAGTTTTCATCCTTTGTTGTTGTGATTATCCAACCTTGCTAATAGTTTATCACCTTTAACAATCATTTAAGGGTACATTCACACTTGCACATTCATCACATCAAAACATTTCACTAAACCCAAAATTAAACCTGTACTAGATCAGGACTACACACAGACCAGAACAGAATCCAACCACATCAGCTCTAAAATTGGTTTCGTTTAGGTCCAAATAACTACAAATATGAACACACTTTTAGTCACATATGCAGTAAAGCAGCACAAGAGTCACTCTGTTATTTAAAATTAGGGTTTCTTGAAACCCTAATCATCACCTTGAATCAACCATAACTTGTTACCCAGACTTTTGGTCTCTAATTTGCTCATATGAGTGTTTATCAATCACTATTTTGAGCCTGTCCATTGGAGCATCCTTGATATTCCCCAGAGTGCTACACATCCAATAATTGTACAGTATTCACTGTAATGGATATGTTGAGAGAGAGTAAAGCTCAATAAAGTAGTCAAATTACATATCTGTCAATATCTAGACAACACTTCAGCTGTGTTCACACTTACACACAGCCACATCTCATCAAAAGTGGGAAACCTTTTACTAAGGATTACAAGATTATTAGTTAAAATTGTGATACAGGAATAAATTCAACATTTTATTGCCATCATAATGATATTAGCTTTAGAGCATCAAGCACTGTATATTTTGATGTAAAGTGGAATACAAAAGATGCAAGACCCTACAAAAATAATAATTGTAACAGTTTTAAAAGCTCATCTAATTTCTATTAAATCTACTCCAATTTATCTGTCTGTTAATGCCATTTATGTGCACTTTATCATCCAGAAAGTTTGATTTCATAAAGCTGTTCACAGACTGTACCATATAAGATAACAGAAATGAGAGAAAATTAATGATTGGACTAAGCTTGGTTATAGTGTAAATAATTGTGAATACTAAAATTTAAATGGTCACATTTTTCTATAGCACTTTTCCACCTTCAAGGCACCACTCACGCAGACACTGTGGGTTAAGTGTCTTGCCCAAGGACACAATAACAGCATTCATCTGTGGGAGCTGGAGCTTGACCAGCCAAGTCAGTGTCAGGGTCAGTGGACCTGACCGCTCAACCTGTGATGTTTTTGTCAAGAGCTGGAATCGAACCGCCAACCTTTAGATCAGTGGGCGAATGCTCTACCAACTGAGCTACTGCCGCACCTTTAATTTTAATATCATGACAGTCCTAACCTGGACTATACCCGAACCAGAGCAGCTCTATTACACAACCAAACTGAATCTACATCAGGACTACACAAGGCTCAAACCAGGATAATTGTATGTATATAGTGGTATTGTAGTTTAATTTTTCCCTGAACCGGCACAATTGTCATTTTCCTAACTTGCATAGGACCACTAGACTGAAAAACAGCTTTATCTAATCTTAAAAAGCACAGAAATATACTGAGGTGGGCAAAGATCATATACCAGTACTAGTGTAGAAATCCAAAAAGACAAAAATCTAATACAAACACTGTGAGAGGGGAGAAAACAATGAGCAAACTGACCTGAGCTGACCTGAAGCTGTTAAATCAATTACCATATTGATTTATCGTTCAATATGGAAGCTGAAACAATATTTTTGGGGCATCAGTATTTATTGTGTGTACATTTTCTTTGCACTACTGAGATATTTTGGTTATTTTTTGGCTATACAAAAAGATTTAATCTGTAAAAAGGTTGAATTAATAACATCTATCTAAGTAGTAACGTGATTCATTCTGCTATTTTTTTATTACAATTCATGATTTTTTAATAATATTGTACATTTAGAATAGTTTTTGTGGCTTAAATCTGCTCTTGGGTTATATCCGTGTCATAAATTTGTTTCAGTATTGTAGTTTAGTTCAGCAGTATATTACTTAAAAATGTGTTATTATGAAAGGGATAAATCCATCTAATATCTGCTTAGTATTGCTGCTTGATTTAGGATTTGCTAATGTGTATTGTGTAGCGTTGTACCTGAAAATAAATAAAAGATTCTAATCTAATATTTTTTTCTACAGATGTCATTTGGGTGATTTTGAGTGTGGAGATTGGAGGTCTTCTCGGGGTCACGCAGCAGCTCTCATCTTTCCAGGCAGAGTTCAACACTCAGCCTCATCGAAACCTGGAGGGAGACTACAACCCCTTCGCTTCGCCGCAGAAGGGCAAGTGCGTCAACGGCAACAACAGCAGTCTCCTCGACAACAGAGAGCTCACACAGCCACAACCAGATCAGAATGGACTTTCACACCCCTCTGTGGATTTAGTAGCAAATAATCTGCAAAGCAATCTATCATTAGTCTCTTCAAACCAGGTAAAAAAGGATTAAGATTTGGTTTAATCAATCGCCTCTGTGGGCTTTTTAAAGGAGTTATATTATGCAGCCTTGACCTTTTTAAGAGCTTTTAATGATGTTATAATTGTGTATAATTGTAAAGTGATTCAAAACCGTAACTAAACTCCAAGCTAAGTCAGAACTAGATCAGGACAAGACCACATCACAGTTAAAGTCAGGAGTTATTTGTTTAGTTTAGTTTTTGTTTAGTGTTTTTTATATTTTCATTTTTGAGTTCGCAAACACACAATAATTCATCCTATTAGGCAAAGCTCTTTGTGCTTTGTGCTGAATCTTATCAAAGGTTGATTTTTTTGCTTGTATTTTTGCTGTGATGTTTCAAACTGATAAATAAACTGGATTTAGCCAGGTTAGACCAGTGTGACCGCAACCTAAAAGTGGCTTATTTTGGAGAGAAAACACAAATAACTTGTAAGACAGAAACTGAAAAAAGAAGTGCTCTAAAATGTGTCTAATATTTCCGCACATTCTAGCCTTTTGGTTTGTCTATTTTCTGTTATAGCTCATTGCACAGATTAAACCCTCTCATGTATTTTCCACAGGGTTTAAAGGAGCCCTTTTCCTCCGGCCAGTCATAAACCCTGGGATGCAGTGACGTTAGAGGAGGAGCTGGTGGAGAAATTCAGAACTCTAAATTTATGCAAACGTCAGTCTCCCTCGAAAACCGGGACTGACCGACTGTGCAGCTCACCCAGGCCCACACCCACAGTTTGCACGAGTGAATGCTACTCATAAATGAGTGATTTGAGCGATTACTTTTCTCTGGATTTTTTTTTAGTTGTGAGTTGAATGACGGTGGAGATGTGTAATTGTACAATGTGTATACAGTATGTGTGTATCTTTAAAACCTTAGGAGGAAAGCCATTTATTTTGCCAATTGATTCTTAAGTCTCTGCTTTCACGTTTGGCATATTTATTAAGATTTTTTTCTTTTTACAAATTTTTGGATTGTGAATATCAGTAGTAATGATGGTAATAATCCTTAATCTTATGAATTTTCAATTTAAAGGATTCTTCTATGGGCTTTATCACAGCTTTTGCATAATTGGTAACGTTATTTGCATTTCTAGTTTGTCTTAAGTCAGTAGGGATTTGCATATCACCATTTTTCTCCGCTATATTATTCATCAAGAGAAGCAAAGTAGTTCTATATATTTTTTTCCAATCCATGGTACTTAACATAATCAATAAAGTAAAGGTTTTATATTGTGTACAATTTTTAGGAAGAGTAATCACATTCATTTGTCTAATACTTTATTCTGTCAGACCATAATGCAGTATTAAAGACATTATTATACAATTTATTGACTATAAAATATAAAGTATGGTCTAGGCCTGTCCCGATACACAAGAACTCCTAAGCAAGATTACCCCCAAAAACTTTTCTGAATGTACAATATTCAAAATATCATGAGCTGCAATAAATAAACTGCAAAATGAAACACTTTAGTACTTAGTTTGTGCGTATAATGAGTCATGGAAGTTATATCCACTAGTGTAAAGAAAATGTACACACAAAAAATATTGCCCCCAAAAATATTGTTCCAGCTTTCATGTATTGAACAATAAGTTGATGTAGTAATTATCGTGACAGGCCTAGTATAGTCTACCATTATGTTAAATGCAACTTTTGGGCCAATCATTCATTCTTAAACTGTATTTATCCTGTAATGGCCTTTTGTAAGTTATCATTTTAATTTGAATGTATGAGAAAGATACGGGATAACATTGTTGATCTATATGGCCTTTTTAATTTGTCTTGGTTAAATTTCAAACTATTTGTACAAAGATGTCAACATAAACTAAACATATTAAAGAAATATCTGCACTATTTCTGAGCTATGCAGTAATGCGCTCCAGAATAAGGCCTAAGTATATAAGCTCTTTCAACACAAAACTAGAACAAATCCATGTTTGCACCGAAACATTTGAAATCTTTTGACATGATTCAAACTTGACAATAGCCAAAAGTACAATGCTCCCAGTCCAATATGTTAATGACACATCCAACTGCAGAATAAAATTATTGGTTCACTTCATCCAGAGCAGAGAGGTGGATATAAAGCTTTTCCTGTATGTTTGATGAATGTTTGTATGATTAAATTATCACTCAAAAAACTGCATTTGTTTTGTTTTTCTTATACGTAGTACCTTATATTGTCTTTATAGTGAAGTTTACAAGCTTAAAGGGCACATTTCACACTATTTTCTGTTCCATGTTTATGTTGTATCATCCAAAACATACGTGGAGTTCTGTTTTGTTTCAGTCACACATGTTTAACACACAAATTCTGCATATTTTGGCCAAATTCTTCTCTCAAACATTGTTACACCTTGTGACGTGCAAGGAAATACAAGGAAAGTGCTCCACTATGTTTTTAAACTCCATACATCTGTACTGGAATTAGAAGGTAGCTGTTAATTTGTTACAAGCTTTTGAGATGTAGACTAATATATGAGGGATTATTCCAACACGTGTGAATGAAACAAAACACTGGCTTTAAGCTCATATGACCTTTAAACTTTTGACTGAGCTTGGTGTACAAAAAAAGATCTGACACTTGCACATAGACCACCTGAAAACTGAGATTACTGTAAACCAGTACTAGACCAGAAATAAACAAGGACTAGAACAGGATTACACCAAGTCCACATCAGGACTAAAATGGCCTCAATTTAGAATGAAATAACAAGTGTGAACACATCTTAAGTCTACATAGGGACAAATACGGGGCTCAAAACAGGTCCCAGTCATGGCAATATTAAAAAAATCATTATCAGTACTAAACGAGGAGATCCACATACCAACTAAATAGGACCTAATTGTTCTATAAGCTTGCAATATGATTAATATGCTTATCAGAATAATCCCACATATCACCATGCAGTAGTGGTCATATAACTGTTTTAAGTTCTCAAATATGTTGGAGGACTGTGGGCAAACTGTGGGCAGACTGCCTCTGGTGGTACATGGGGCCCTCTGCAGTTGAGTATTTGTTTTATCTAGAGACAAATCTATTCATGTTAACCATTATTTAGAACATCATGATTTGGTTAATTTCATTTTGACCATGTTAACCAACATTAAACATTAAACCACTTTTGTCAGAGAAAGTAAAAAACTTCTATGTGAACTGTGTATATGAGGAAACACTCACAATTTGAGGTGCACCAGTTACAGATTTTTTTGTCATTCAAAAACATTTTAATTACTAAAACGCACTTGTGTAATAATCAGACAAAAGCAAAAGTAACTTACCCTTATTTTATTGATTGATTGATTGATTGATTGATTTGACAGGGGCAACGCAGTCATACCTATTCACAGGCAGAACATGCAGCTGATGGAGCACATATAGAGTCTCTAGTTAGTACTAGTACTCAACTCCTGTCCCTGGTTGGACTTTTCCTTACACTAAACAGTTGCCTAAAATGCCCAATTTGACTTGAAACCTACCTGAGAGCTTTACTGTTTACTTTAGATCTACTAACAGTGCCTCCAGTCAGTATAAAGCTCGAGAGCAGAGCAGCCTATCAGACACACCCTTCTGTCCCTGCTCATATTTAAACTTAAAGTCATTGTGGTAAAAAACAAGGTTGAGACCAAACCCAGAGGAGACACTGCTGTTCTGAACGTCTACACAAACTCAACTCAAAACTGCCCCAGATTGAAGCTACATCCACCTGCAGCAGTGAAGAGAGAAGCAGGTAGGACTGGTGGCATCATATTATCTTGTTCAAAGGGACTGGGCAGCCTATTGTTGCTGATAGTGAGATAATGGATGTTTCACAGGTTAAAATAAGAAAAAGGTTCAATAATTTCTTTAAGTGAAGAATTAGTTAAATTTTCCATATAGCGATAATACGCTGCACCTTATACTTAAAATGTAAGGAGTGTAACTGGAAAAAATCTCCAGGGGTCTAAACCGTGGAGAATTTCACGTTATCAAAGAACATTTTATAATAAATATATGTAAATAACTTGATTAAAGAATGATTTGGGCTTTGTAAATACTTAAGTAATGCCCTAACCCAAACCTCTTCTAAGCCTGAATCATTCTTAATCAACTGTTTGTTCTGTATGAAGTCTTGCTCATGCTTAATTAAGATATAGTTATTATAAAGAGTCCTTTATCATCAACTACAAGCTCCTAAAATGTAAAGGAATGTCAACAACACAATGCACCTGCCAAGACTAATGCGGTGTTTTATTTGATTTTGTCAACACAGTTTTCACTCCATCCACTTCCTCTTTAGTAACTTTGGCACAGCTCCAGAACAGGGGCCTGGACAGCCCATCTTATTTCAGTGACAATTGCGTGAGTCAAAATATGGCTTTGTTTATCAAAATGACAAAAAATTTAACAAAATTAGTAATAATCTGTAAGTCTGACTCCAAATTTATTCAAATTAATCAAATTCATTCATCCAATTCATTTTCCTACTAATAGAAAAAACAAAAGAAAAACAAAAAAACTGCTTCTTGAGTTTATTATACAATTTGATACTTGCAGCTGAACTCCTTCCATTACTATTCACTGATCTGTGATCCTATTGACTGATCTGTGATTTTCTACAGTCCAGACATTAATGCACATTTTAGTGTTGACTTAAATGATGTTTCCTTGACATAGGCCTAATGTGATCTCTATGCACTCTAACTCTTTGCACTGGGCTGTTTTGCAATTCACATTCAGTTATGTCAGACTGTCTTGCAGAGGAGGGTAGAGTTGTTACTTTAGTATAGTGCAGGATTAAGTGCTAGTGGTGTAGTCATCCAAATAGATATTTAAGTAGAAGTTAATATATATCATCAAGTTATTTTTTTTTATGTAACATAATTCATATTTTTTGTATTGTGCTTGTGATCAGACAGATAAAACACACATTTTGGTGTTTTCAAAAAATAGGCCAACATGTTGAAAAGAAAAACACTATCTTGAGGTAAGGTGTTCAAAACTCAGCTTTGTAATTTATTCCTATATGTCAGTAGCTTTTATCTTTTACAAAAGAATAAGCTGCCTTGTGGTTGGAAGCCTTAAGTAGGGTATTGTTAACCAAATATTACTCAGGTGTATGGAAAAGGTGCAGAAGCTTTGAAATACAATTGTTTAAATAGAGTTCATTGATGGGCGCCTCTGCAGTTGCTTGAACAAAGGCTATACTTTCACTAATCCTTGATGACTGGGTCCTTAAGTAAAAGCAGCCAAAGCAAACAGCACAGAGCCAGGGTCTTGTTTACTTTAAGATTGCTTCTGTTAAGCTAATGAGATGTTGAACTGCAGCATCAATGTCTCACTGTTTCAGAATGCTCTGGGACAGTTAGCATTTTTATTGCATTGTTTTATTGTTAAACAGCTGGGCCCAGGAATCGCACTAGGGACATTCTTGCTGTTAGACAACAGTGCTTGGACCAGCACTACACATTTTAATATTTTCAAGGAGTGGTGCAAGTTAACAGGTCGCTAATACTAACTTTTTATTAATTAACTTAATTGTTAATTTAACGTATTTCATAGTAACAGTGAAAAGAGGTAAACAATATTTATTCTCCTGGTTGGTGACCCTGACATTTTTTTTTAACCTTTATTTAATCTGGAAAGTCCCATTGAGAATCAAAAATCTCTTTTTCAAGGGTGTCCTGACCAAGATGCATCCACAACACAAACCACATACAAAACATTTCATATACAGTAAAACAGACTAGTTATAAATCAGACCGGGCGTCTCCAACCTGTAGTTCGGGAGCTGCCAGTAGCTCTCCACCCTGTTCCAAGTAGCTTGCAAAGTGAATTCTGAATTGTACATATTGTGCTGAATAACTAAAATTTGATTGATTAAATGCCTATTTCTTTTGTAAATGTATCATTTTGATGCCTGACCTTGTGTTCTGATTACTGAATGATGGTTTATGTTTTATAAGCATCTAACTCATCTATAAGCATCTAACTCATCTAAGGCTTGCCATGGCTCTTATATTTACAAAATTTCTAAAGGCCACTAAAATTAGTAGCTCTGGCATTTTCGTTTGATAAAAAGTAGCTCACAGGAGGAAAAAGGTTGGAGACCCCTGAATCAGACAATATAAAAGTTAGAAACAGTGCCAGGTCAGTAACTGAATTGCAGGTTAAAATGCACCAGCGGTACAAGAATTTGGAGTTTAATAGTTTTCTGTAGGGAGTTTTCAGTTTACAGATGGAATACTGTTTTCTGTCTCTATCTGAGAGTTCATCATCTTCACAACCCAGAATCAAATTTTCCTTTCACCACTGTTTGTATGGCGGGATAGTCGGCTCATTTCTCTTTCTAGGAAGATCTCTGAGGTGCTTTTGACACTGGCCTTTACAAATAAAAAAATACTTAAATTGAAACATGCATTTATCTTTCCTCTCCATCAGTCTTCAGCATGGGAAGTCCCGATAACCCCCCAACCTTTCACAACATGGACTTCCCCAGGATGCACTATCTGACGACTGACCCCAGACAGGCGAGTTCACCGAGGGGCTGCTTACCTCAAGGGCCAGATCACCACTACATGGAAGTTCGCAAGACTGAACCAACCTCCCCAGTGCCCGACCAATCACACTGCAGCATTTTGGAGAGAGAGAGCCAGGTGGAGGAGCGTTGCTTGGAGCAGATGCAGTCCATATTGGTGGGAGAGGTCCTCAAAGATGTGGACACTGCATGCAAACTGCTCAACATCACACAAGGTATATATGCAAATCAACATGGGAGACAATGGCCACCTTCACAAGTGTTTTATCTGCAAACATGTTGACAGAGAGATTATAAAGAGTCACTGTTTATACTGACAAAAGCTCATTGTGGGAACGATTATTTGAAAGTAGTACTGTTGACAAGTACTGCTGAGTTATCCAGTGCATGTAGATGTTCAAATTGAAATGTAATTGTCCCTGTGTCTTCAAATCTGTTACATCTGTATTTTTTTATTTCTATAAACATGCATGTGGCTCTTATATCAGTTTATTAGTTCATATTTCTGTTTTCTCTGAGATGTTTGCTCCTGGATGGTTTTAAAATGTGCACTCTGTTCTTAATTGCAGATAGAAAGAATACTTGCCATTGCATCTGCAGGGAGATAGATAAGTTGAATACCGTAGAACATTCCAGGCAAAGCAATGACACCTCCATGGAAATAAGCATTAGAGAAGTTACAAAGTGCATTTTTAATTTTCAGTTGGTAGTATGTTTTGTTATTTGCAATTTTTTCCTCTTTTTACTTCTGTGTAGATACCCCTTCTTTTACACCCTCATTTAGCTTTTGGTAATATTTCTAAAATAAACATGTTCAAATATGTCTCCTATCCTGCAACTAATAGTTCAAAAAACAGCCCTGGAATTGCCAATCTCTTCTGAACAAAAAGTAAAAGATAGCTGTTAACTTCATGACATCATATTTTGAGCTTTAGAGATGAACACAGACTCACACAGTCACTCAAACAAAACACAACTTCGGGTATGTTTTTGATGAACTATCAATATTCTAATGGCTTAAAGATCACATGAGAACATTTTGTGTAATATAGGGCCTTTAAGTAATATGACTTCCAATTTTGTATATAGTTTTAATTAATTATGAATTAATCATTGGATTTATATAACGCATTTCAAGGCACCCAAAGCACTTTACCATGCAGTATTCATTCACACCTTACTTGGTTGTGGTAAGCTCCTACAGAAGCAGAGCTGTCAATCTGTGTCATTGGCTCCTCTGCCCAGACCCATACACCACATTCATACTAGGCAATGAAGTGTCTTTCCTAAGGACATACCAATAGTTTTTTTCCACTGGAGACCCTCTGTGGCATCTCATATTCTCACTGGTTTTAGCTTTGCCTCTGCTCCTCTAATGTACAGTATATTCTTTAAACTTTTGACAAGATGTAAACAAACTTGTAATCTAAATTTCTAACCCGTCTCATCCACAGACCCAATGAGCTGGAGCAGTCTGCAGGTGCAGAAATGGCTGCTGTGGACAGAGCACATGTACCACCTGCCCAGAGTCAGTGCTCTGTTCGAGGGCTTGAGAGGAGAAGACCTCTGCTTCATGTCAGAGGTTCAGTTCAGACAGCACTCCCCTGAGTCTGGAGACAAACTCTATGCTCACCTGGACATCTGGAGATCAGGTACATGGGGAAAGAATCAAATGTTATGTTTTAAACCTGTGTGGGTATTACAAGCATCAAGAAATTATTCACCCATTCATACACAAAGATACATATATAACTTAGATATATTGGATTTGAGGTTCTTGCAGCACTCTGCTCACTTCTGACACTGATTCTGGAGATCATGTACACAGGGAATTATATGTTTGGTCATTTTTTTAACCTCTATTGTATTCAAAGCATTTACCTAAATAAACCTAAACGCTCATGTCATATGCTTTGACTTTACAGCTGTAGCCATGAAGGGACCATGCACACCAGTGGACAACACTCCAGGTAAGCATATGTAGTCTGTATTATTCTTAATGCTGTCTAATTAATCTAATGCTGAGAAAAGCCTTTCATGTGTGGGGTTCCCTACCTACTAGTCTTTATGGAAATGTGTGCCTGAAATGTATCTAGGTTGATCAATTTGAAAAAAGAAATACATATCTGACCTGTGAGTGGTGCTAGTAGCTCACCTTTAAAGTAAGTGTTTAAAGATGTTTTTGCATGCAGCTGTGGAGAGCTCGTGTGCAGATGTGACGTGCAGTTATCCAAACCATCCCATCCACCTGTGGCAGTTTCTCAGAGAGCTGCTCCTCAGACCTCACAACTACAGCCGCTGCATCCGGTGGCTCAACAAGGAGAAAGGTAAGGACAGAGAGAGATGTTTTAAAGTTAAGAAATACATGGTTTGAAGGGTATTTAGTATTTATTTAGATTTGGTTAGGTTGCATTCATGTTCTAAAATTGAATGATGATATAATTAAGAGTGGGCCTTTAAAACTCTTTGGGAGATTCCCTGTCCACAAATGTTGACCTAACACCAGTGGATGGGTTGCACAAACAGAACTGACTCTCGTGAGCTTTAAGTCATGTTAGAATGTTGTTATCTCCTCAAAAACTTACCTGGAGTTGTGTTTTGTTGCATTCATCCTGGATTATTAGTTTGTCTACATCTCCAAAATTCAAAATGCTTTGTTTCACCCTTTGATGTCATGATGTGGAAATTTTTAAATTTTTTGTTTAGAAATGGATTCGAAATTTCAGGCCTGAAATTTTCTAAATGACTTGAGTAAAGGTGTTTGGAGTTTACAAAACACAATACTTTGAGAGATACAAAATTAATGAATGATACAAAATACAACTCCAGGTATGTTTTTGATGAGGAAACAACATTATAACAGATTAGAAATTATCTTATAGGCCCTTTGAATGATAGGCAAATAAGAATGTGATGACATGTGAACTCAACCTATTAATGACTAGTAGACTAAATATTATACATGATCAGACATAAAACCAAACCCACTTAAAAGGGAATTAAATAACAGATATTCTCTAACAGCATAGCTCTAAGTATAGACTTATAGACTCTTTTGATTGGTTAATTCCTTTTCCTTTTTCTAACACATAGCATAGTATTTGTACAGATGAAATATATGCTGGGGGCCCGTATTATTCAACATTGCGTGATTCTATCTGGACTTAGATTATTTCAGTAGATTTTGAAGTGATAATATAAAAAGATGATTACATTTTAGCCTGTGGTGGCGGAGAAGAAGCACAGGTTTTACTTTGCAATTGAAAGTGGTGGTTTTGCCCTCAGCCGTTTTGACATTTTGTCAGATTGGCAGAGCTGCGCAGCTACAGCAGTCAACAGTTAATCCTAATGTAACAGTTAACAGTTCACCCTAATATAACAATAGCATGAGTCATTTTGCTTGTGCTTGCTTGTCATATGATAATTAGGCTCACCAATGTCTGTTAATTAGTTTGCCAAAATTACCACGCTTGTCACCACCAAATGTCTCTATAAACATTTCAGAATTTGCTGTCACTGAAACAATATGTGAGGAGCATAATGAAACATTCACTGTAAAAAATGTTTATCTGAATCTGTCAGGCATTTTTAGATTAGATGTAATGCCTTAGACCTAACCCGTATTCTACTTGTTGCTGGCATGATTTCAGGCAAATTTTACTTGAAATGAGAAAAAAAAACATATTTTCATTTTTTCCATTACCAAATACACACAAAATTTGCTTAAAATAATAATTGTAAGAGCTAGTAGTAGTAGTAGGCATAGACCTAGTAGTAGTAATACGGTAGTTGTAGTGGTAGTAGTAGAAGAAGTAGTAGTAGTAGCCTAGTATTAGTAATAGGCCTAGCAGAATGCAGTTTATTTCACATTAGTAACAATATCTTTTTTTTTTTTTACAATATTGGCCTGGGTTTGAACTAATCTATAATGTATCTTTTTGCAGTGTATGCAGCTGTGTAATACAAAGTCCATTACTCCTCACTTCACCTGTGGTTTCTTTAAGGTATCTTTAAAATCGAGGACTCGGCTCATGTGGCACGGCTTTGGGGCATTAGGAAGAACCGTCCCGCCATGAACTACGACAAACTGAGTCGCTCCATCCGCCAGTACTACAAGAAGGGCATCATGAAAAAACCTGAAGTGTCCTGCAGGCTTGTCTACCAGTTTGTCAACCCCATATGACCATAAGGACCACAAACACACAGCAAGGAAGAATTTTAAAGACTGCCTATAAATGCACTCATGCCTCCCTGGAACTATGTAGAGACATATCTTTATGTATCACAGCTCCTACTTTGGTAGGGGAAATGTGTACTTTCTTAAGGTTTGTTTCAGGAGTTGAATGGTGCAATACAGAGGTTATTCTGGGGGTTATAATAAATAATTTGTTAGTAATATTTTTAATTTAATAATTACATTTGTAATAGCATTAATAAAGCATGAATAACATAATGAGCAAATAGTTTATTAAAAGGGCACTATGCAACTTTTCTGGTCCACTATCTCCTTGTTTCCATGGAGATGTTATTGCTTTCCTTGGAATGTTCCATGTTATGACATTACATACATATTCTTGTAGCATTCATTCATGGCGTGTGTTTCTATTGCTCAAAAATTTGTGATTTGGAGTGACTCCCCACAGATCTGAACTATAATGTAGCGTAGTGCTGTAGCCTGCTTTGTCTCCCTTGTCATAAAGAGCCTAGGTTTAATCTATACTGTGGAACATTCTAAACAAAGCAATAACATTTCCATGGAGACAAGCAAATAGCAAACCATCCACTAGAAAAGTTGTGCAGGCACTTTTAAGAAGGATTCAGGCTTAGTAACTATGTGATTAATACTTTAACTGCTTAAAGAAGTAGTGACTAAACCTGAATCATTCTTAATAAACTTTTAGTTCATTATGAATAGTAATAAGTCTTTGGTCATGTTTTATTAAGGCTAAGTAAGGTGTAGTTATTATAAAGTGGTATAAAATCACCAATGGTTAATCTACGTGTCAACAAAACACACACACACACACTACCTTTTTCAACAGCTTTTTTCCCTTTCAAATCAATATTGCAATATTGACACCACCACAAAATGTTTCAGGTTTCAGGTTTTCCATCACTGTTGTCATAAGTGTGATCATAATTATCTTTATGCATATTTAAATGAATGTCTTGTTACATCGAGATGAACAGGCACTACACCAGTTAGGAGATAAAGTACATCACTAACTATGAACAGACATTTCTACACTGCTAATATCAGGCTGTGTGAGCCCGTGTGCATAAGGAAGAGATCATAAACAAAAAAAAAGCCTTTACACATACAGCTTTTACTGCCTCAACATGTTAGGTCTCAATTCAACTCAACACAGTTGTACAGTTACAATAGAATATACTCTTAAATTACATCATCATGTACAAATCTGACAGCGTGGGGTAACGGCACGCCTTTATGGTACACTGACAACTTCATTGCAATGAAATCCATATGATATGCTTCCTATTACTTAATATGAGTTTCCATTGCTGTTATTTTAATGAACACATTTACATGTATAACACTACATTTGTCTTAATAGTCAATCACTTGCAGTTTTTGTAAATTTTTTCCATTACATTTACACAACTCATACACACTGGAGGATATGCGCCCCAAAGATTCGCCTGGCTGTGCGTTGCATGATAAGTGTAGAGTGAATGCGTGTGAACATATGTAGATATATAAGGAGGTTGGATGGTACAAGTCCTTTTTGCTATGCTGTACAGCTTTACTCTAAGACACAACTTGTGAGCTGGTGATGCGTTCTCCTCAAGTGTGACGCACAGACCTGTTGAATCCTAACACTGAGCTCAAAACTCTGGGAAATTTCAAAACTTCACTACAAAAAGGCAATCTCTCGTCTGCAAAGTTTGTTGGAGATTTTGGTGCCCTGTACTACCATTAGAAGTAACTGAGTTTTGATAACTAGTGTGCTGCTACAACGTAATTTCTATGAAGCTAGGTATTCGCACTGTGTGATATTTTAATAAGTGAAATACTAGTGTCATTGCACAGTGCTTGTTTAGGGATAAAAACATGAAGGTTTCTAAGGGGGCGGCTACAAGTTGATTTATGCTAAAGCTGTGATGTGCTGTGGAGCTATTGCATGAAAACAGAACAGTGATGGGGACAAGTCATTCTTTGGCTCAGCAAGTGAACGGGCCACAAAATCAAATGCAAGCCAGGTTTTCACATGACACAGGGAGCCATGTCGAGTGCTTCCTTAAGCTCACACACTTGTACATTCATGTCCTGAGAGGCTGGGTCAGACAGAAACGCGCGATCACGCTTCAGTCAGGCCCTTTGTTTTGGAAGAAAAGCACTGCTCGAAAGCCTCCTCTCAAATGCAACCTCAAGAAGATGATCCAACGTCAGTCTGAGGGCATTACTTAAGCGGAAGAAAACAAGTGTTACTGAACCAAGAACTGTGCCCATCTCTAACATGGGATGGAGTTAGAACAGGTGATGCTAAAATCAAAACAAAATAAAAGATACACGTCAGTTTGTCATCAGGCGTACTCTGATAGGACAAAGCATGAGCATGTCCAGAGGATGGGATGGCCAAAGTGATCGCTGCATTTGGAGTTGAAGTGTTGCATCAGGTTGTAGCCCACAGGGTCTTTGCATAGCACATGCTGCTATGCAATCTGAGAAACAGCTAACACAGAGCACTGCACACACTGGAAAAGAGGTTGGACCAAATCACATAAAACAAAACAGAAGAGGATACTGTCGTGGTACTTCAACACTACACAGCATTCCCCATGTAAAGAATGACAACTGACCACACAGCATTAGATTTGTTACACAAAAATGGCGTCACATTGTATATACACAATGCAGGTTAGAGAAGCTTTATCTGGTTGAATGGGCATAATAATGATAATATCTCCCCATTGTCACAGTAAGCTGTAGACATTAAATACAGCTACAGAGAAGCAGATGTGTCCTGCACTGTCCTGGTGTTAGGGTGTATATACTGGAATACAGGCTGCTCCTGTACGCGTTAGGTCCACCCACCCAATGATGGAGAAATTATAGGATACATATACTATTGTCTTTTGGGTTACTAAGTTTTATTAGCGGGAATGCTTGGCGCTTCTGTTGGGCAGGGGATGTGTTGCTCATAAGTCTCTGGCTATGTGCGGTGCAATTGGACAGGACAGTTCAAGCTGCCTCCAATAGCGTGTCCTTCTCTAGTCACATGACTAGATGGGCTCCACATAATTGGCCGGGTACAGTCCCTCCCGACCGTTGTCCAAACGTCCTCTACACCAGCCCTGCTCATCTTCATCCTCAGTCTTGGTCAGCTCGTCACCTGAAGATGAAAACACAAAGTTTAACACAGCTACTAAACATATAGGATAAATAAGCATTACATTGCAGACCATAGCCTTTCTTTTTGGACCCAACCTGGTGCACTGTGTAGCAGATGATATAACATACTAATAAATTCAAACAAACTAATTCCCCCAATTATCAGTGAATGTTTTTACGATGTATTGTATTGTTAGCATGCAGCTGCTCTTTCTCAGTTGTACAAAGCATTCATTAAATAGCTGTTACTCAGATGGCCCAAATCCTCAATCAACCACTTCCCCTCGGCGCTCCTGTTAATTGGCTGTTGGCTGTGTGTAATTTGTTATCCACAAGACTTTCATTACTGATCACTGCTATCTCCTTGAGAGGAAGCCATCTTTAGACAGAGCCAGGCCAAGGTTAGTGCTTCCTGACCACCACGGCCACCTTTAAATCTCATTAATAATTCATTGCAGCGAACCACGGGTGATTACCTGCTTTGAAGGTGAGCTCATCTTGTTCCTGTCCTTCGTAGTCGTACAGGGCACGCACACGGACCCCTCGGCCGGTGCTAGAATCGTCCTCAAAAGAGTTGCCATTGCCTCCGTTTTCGTTGCCTGAGTACGCGGCGGGTTGCTCGTCATCGGACCATTCGGCTGAGTAGGTTTGGTTCTTGTCATAGCTGCTCACACTGCGGGAGAGGGGGAGAGAGTAAGAGGAGGACAGAGGGTGAAGGAGGGGGTGTCAGTTACATCGCTGGGTAAAGGGTCATTCTAGTATCATCAATACAAATAAAATCAAACAGATCATATGTACAGCACTGAGAGCTTTGCATCAGTCCATTACTTCTCCACTCCCTTATTAAACTTGGTGGTACTAAGCTTCTCTGAATAGCCACAGCAGCTCTAAGACTGACTGACAACGGCTATGTTTACACCAAAATGTTATTTGATTTCTGGAGTTATCAGATTATTGAAATGTCATGTAAACAGTTTCATCTATCGGACAGTACTGACAAGGAAAATATGCTAAAAAGGGCAAACTAGTATGGGAAAAACAAATTAAAATAGAAAATGTAACATGATGTTTTCAATGATTAGATTTCATTTGTAAACATGTAAACAGACACTACCAATCAGATGTAATTATTGGGTTATTTGATTATTCTAGTTACCTGATTTTTAGTGGTCATTTAAAGCACAAACAGCCTGACTGACCACTGCCAAGCGCATTTTAGACATCTCGTTCACATTGGATTAGGCTAGAAGTTAGAATACACTGGCTTAAGTGTAGATCAGGGAAAAGAAACTGCTGATTTAGTTAGAATTTAGTTATTTGGTCTCTACGAACTGCTATCTGTTATCTGCTTTTTAAATATCTAAAATCAACTTCCTATTTCCTGTGCACTTCCTAAAACTTTGCCCTTTCTAACAGCACAATATCTAATTTATTCCTTTGGACAATAACAGATCTCCAAAATATCTCCAAAATCTATCAGGCTGTTTCTATTTTGCTGCAATGTAATATACACCATGACCAGCCAAAACAATTACCCACACAGAATGGAAAAACAAAGGACTTTTACCTGCTGCGGTCACCAGGTGGCGCCACATGGTCTGTGCTGGGAGTGGGTGGGGCTCCATCTGGTTTCTTTTTCTTTGGAGGAGCAGCAGCAGCATCTGGGTTGTACTCCTAATCGTGAAAAATTAAAATATAAAATTAAAACCTAAAATGGATCTTATTTCTTATTTGTGGTCATAGACTTTTGACATGGTACCTCAAATGCAGGCCAGTTCATATGCATGCCCGGTCCGTGGTTGTTGCTAAACCACTTGAGGTCCTCTTGCGTGTTTGCAGCCAGGATGGTGCGTTCCAGTTCTCTGTATATTGTGGCATAGCTGTGGGCAAAAAGAAGGAGAAATCAGCGACAATGTGAAGCACCATACGTTTGACTCTGAGCCAGTTTGGCAAATACTCCTCTGAGTGCTGCTCATTTAGTACAAGAGCCATCTAGGACTGGGCCAGAGGGAGGCAAAAGTGGGTGACAATGACATTTCACTAAGGAGGAAATAAATACCTGCAGTTTGTAAATCTGTAGAACTGTTTATGAGATTCAATTTGCTACATAATACATACTTCTTTCCTATTTTCTTTACTTTTCTTGCTTTTTCAAATCTTGCATTTAAAGGTCCTGTATTACACACTTGACTCTTGTGAGCTTGTCATGTTAAAATGCTGTTACATCACCAAAAACATATCTGGAGTTGTGTTTTGTTTGACTGGCACGTTTTGAGCAACCCTTTATTAATGGTCTGTCTATATCTCCAAAGCTCAAAATGCTTTATTGCAACTTGTGATGTCATGTAGTGGTAGTTTCAAGTTAACCACTCTTGTACCTTTTACCTTTAGTTCAGTAGAAGGTAATTCCAGGGATGAAATTATCCAAATGATTCTACTAAATGTGTATGGAGTTTAAAAACACAGTGGAGCACTTCCTGTATTACCACATGACATCACAAGGTGGAAAGGCTTTTCTGCTTGAGAGAAGAAAAATAAATATATGCAGGGTTTGTGTGAATGAAAAAAAACACAGCTCTAGGTATGTTTATGATGAGGAAACAACATTATAACAGTTCATAAATTAGTGAACAGTATAATATGGGTCCTTTTAAGGTGCAGTGTGTGACTGTTCTGTTGGAGACCAAGTATGTTATTGCATACCAGGGCTGGGTATCATTAAGAAGTTGCCGATACAATACAGACCTTGATACATAGGCCATGATACAAAACATATCTCGATACAGTGCGCTTTCGATTTGATACGATATATATCAAAATGTTTCGATACAGTTCAATAAAATATAATGGCTATAGAATGGCTGTAATACTAAAAGTCTTTGTTAAATCAACTTTTTCTGCAAAGTTAACATGAAAAAAAGCCGTTTTAATGATCAAAACAGTGAAAACGTCAAATGTGTTGCATAAACGAGTTTCCTCCCTCTAAACAAGCAACAAAACTGTAATGCTGTAACAAAATAATTTAGTAAAATACAACAAAAAATACTCTTGGTGATACATCGAAACAGCAGTCCACGATATAGATGCTGTATCATCATATCAAATGATACAATATATTGATATTTCGATATTTTTGCACACCCTTATTTTATACACTGTATAATCTTTCACAATTTGGCATTTAACTTATCTATCTTCATGGAAACACACACTAGGCCAAATTGCAGATCTGCGTAGAACCAACCTTGCTTACAGTAAAATTATCATGGTATTTTTTGAGCAATAGAAACACCTGTAATGAAACAAACGCTCCATCGAATGCCATATTGTGAGACATAAGTAAAGCAATGGCCATGGAGACAAGCAAGGAGCTAACCACATTATGAAATCCACCTTTAAACTGGTATAATGGTTTACAAATATGTAAATGTTAAACGGCGGTTAAATGTCCATAAAATGAGACTTGTAGCACGCTTGCTGCAGGTGAGGGCTTGTCTGCTCCATCTTGCTTTTACAGTAATGCAAAACATGACAGGCTGCCACTGTGAGCGAGATCCACTCTGGCACGAACCTTGTTGTCTGAAACATCAATTAATTAGTGTTGGAAGTGTGAGCAGTGATGAGAAGAAAAGGCTGTTTGCGTGGCGTTTTCTGCAGTCAACTGTTGGATGCACAAACCTAATTAATTATAGACAAATGAAGGATTAATTGTTTTGAATAACAGCTGTTCAGAGAAGCTCCAGGACAAACTTTTAAAATCAGTTCATAGTGCAATCACAAATTAGTCCACTATGCTATTACAGGTGATTGACTTTAGAAAATCCTGGTTGTAGTTGTAGGATCTGGCAACCCCAAGTATGCATTTGAATATATAATTCTGTGTGTCTTTATTGGTTGTAAACTGATTTGTCCTTCAGTGATCCTTGAATCTAATTATGTAATGATTAACATTTTACATTCAAAACCAGCTATCAGGTCACTCTCTAGTTGTTGCATTTCCTGTTGTAAATATTTTATTGTATGTGTGTGTGTGTTTTTTTTTTTTTTTTTTTGTCACTTGGTAACCTTGAAAGAGGTGAAAAGCGCCTATAAATAACATAAATAAATAAAATCTATGAATGCTGTTATTGATGTTGCACGAGCACACTACAAGGTCACAAGACGGTAAGACTAAAGATTGTATTACAACGATCACTGTACTGTGTGTGTGGGCCCATGCAGAAAAACATGTGCTTCTCCAACTATTACGCCTCTAGTCAACTCTCTCCCAAGGGTGTCCAGACATATTAGCGTCTGTACCCGATTTTTTCCATGTATTTGTGCAAATTTTGTCTCACCCTAAAACAAATATATTCTATTCTTGAGGTCAAAATAAGTTTGTCTGCATTCAAATATGAAGCGTTTTATTGTCCAAGAATGAGAAAGTGTGCTGTTAGCATGCTAGTTGTTGTTAGCATTACGCTAATGGCACTCCACTCTGGTCTCTGAGAACTGTGAAAAGAGCTCACAATAATTAGGACACTCGTAATGCATGAGGTAATTGAGAACGTAAGATTAAATCACTGCAAAGAGTTTAAAATGAACTGGTTCTATTTTTCACATTTTTAAGACAGTAAAAATCAGGTACACCGACTTTAAAGGACAAATCAGCCTGCCTCGCCAGCCTTTATAACATCCTCCTTGTATTCTATGCATATTCAGTCTGGTACCGCTTTTATGAATGCAATTAAAAGATGTGATTTATGCAGATTAACTACAGGATTAAAAATAAGACATTATAAAGCATTTTATTGTCTGATAATCAGGAAGTGTGCATTAGCATGATTGTTGTTAGCTTTACTATGGCGGTAAAACTGCACTGTCTCTGAGAGTAGTCAAAAGAACTTCAAAACTCATTGAGTGAGGAGTAACCTTGGACCACTCAGAATTGTTAACTACAGTAGATCTGTTTTTTCACATTTTTAAGACAACAGAAATCAGGTATCGCACCCTTAACCTTGTATAAGTCATTATCAAAAAGTTAAAATGTAGCATTAAAAATCACTGAAGCTGCAGTTATTCCTGCCTTTGCTGGTTAGGAGAACTTACCTTTGGTTCTCAGTAAGGTTCAGGTGGCGCTTGATGTCCAGCAGAGCCTCTTTGAGGAAGTTGAGTCTCCGCACTTCGTGCTGTTGACACTGGTCAAACACCTGCTCCATGCTTTCCATGTACTGAGGGGTGCACTTGTTCAGCTCCTCCAGGGACTTCTCGTACTTCTCCTTGGCCTAAATAACACATCAGTCAGTCAGTTTACTTTAGCTCTTTCCACATCACAATTAGATTCTTTATTTATGACCTAATACAAGTATTGTTGCACATGTGTTTGTTTACAGTTTATAGTTTTGGTTAATTAATAGGGAAACTCTGTATTTTACATAATCATCCATAATTATGCTAGTTTAAGTGTAGCTCCACCCTTCAGAGACAGATACCATATGAGGCACTATTCCACCAACTTTTGACCAGAACTGAAGAAACCACTTGGAAGGGTAGCAAAATGCTTTCTATCCAAAACCTTGGTCCAGTTGACAGAATAGAATTTTCTTTTGCAATGGAACAAGATAGTGAAAACAATCCTGTGATATTTTTCCCCATATGTTTACATTTGGAAAAAAGAGGGTTAAGATAGTTCCAGTTACATTTCTTGTGACACTGTACTTCCAAAAATCAGGGCTACAAGTACAGAAGTAATAAAACATAAACAAAAAAACTATTTGGCCAAAATTGTGCCACACTGAACCCCACAATTTATTTATTAGAAATTGTCAAATCTCATCTCGTTCTTGTGGACCCAATCTTGTGCCTCGTGTTGTCATGTGGGAACTGTGCCTCATCTCATCCCATACTTCCTTTTGATATTGACCTTATTCTGGAAGTTGCCATGGGAGCCGCTGCCTTCCACTTGTATGATCTTGCCTATCTCAACACCAAAGTTATAGTCTACATACAAAATCATTTCAAGTCTCCCTGGGAAATTTTGCATTATTGACTTGCTGGTGCACAGGAATATTGAACATTTTACACAAACCAACCTGTTTTATGTAATATTTTATCAGTAAGAGAGGGTTAGCAGTCAAAAGTCTTATGCTTTATATATGAAAGCTGGAGCATTTTGGGTTAAATACGTACTTCTTTTATTCACTATGTTGATGCAAACTAACTAATACTACTTTATTCTTCTTGTGATAATTCTGCTTTGGGGTTATTGTGTCAGTGGCATAATGAAGTTTCAGTATTATCGTTTATCTTCAATATTTTTTATCAGCAATATATCACACTTCAAATTTGTTATCATAAGAGATCGAGTGAATAGCATTTTAAAAAGCTCAAAGCTCCAAACAATAACTGTGTCTTACCTTCTGCACATCCTGTTTGCATTTATCGACTTTCTCGTGGAGTTTCTTCTGCTGGTCGGGTGTGACAGACGCCTCAGTTTTCCCATTGGCCTCTCTGGTTGCGGCCAGTTTCTCCTCCTTGCAGGCCATGTGGTAGGCTTTCTTTGCCGTCTCCATCTGTGGAACCAATCGCAGCCAGTTTAGATTCCACATCAATTCTATACTAAATACTAAGTTAAGCTGTGACATTTATAGACATTTTTCCACATTTATTAGTTTTATTCTTCAAACATTATATTCACTGAATCACTTTTACTGCCAAAATATTAACTTATACACAAGATTTTACATCGCCAAAAGGGTAGTGCAGCTATTACTGTGAATTCTATTGGATTTTAATATAATTCCTTATTCATAAAGGAGTGCTTCAGGCTACCAACCACAATATAAATTTGAAACATGAAAAAGAACTGTATTTTATTAACTGGAAAACAAATGTTGTTCCACTTCTCTGTGAATCAAGGCGGTTTGTGAATAAATTAGATACATAAGTAAGTATATTTGCATAATACAAAAACACAGTACAATGCTTTACACGATACAAACAATTGTAACCATTGCTTTATAGAACACATATTTGTTCTTTAACCCTGCTATATAGTTATAATTGAACCCATGGATTTACATTAGAATTTGTACATTTAAATCACAATATTAATTAATTTTCATTTTCAGTCATTTTTTTCATTTGTACCATCATGTCTGTGTGATGCTGACAAATACTACGCGTATCATCTATTAAGAAATCTAAATTGGAGAACGAAGTAAGTACAGAGCAGTGGCCGCCTGGCAATGGTGGTGAAATTAATCTTAACAATAAGATTAAAGATGAAAGAATAAAGATTGCTAAATGAGAAGAGCAAACCACTATACCATGGTTAAAAGCTCTGAAAAGGCAATTTTGCATAATAGGTCTGCTTTAACGTAAATAAAAGTTGTCCTAATTTCCTGCCACACACTGCTGGATAGTCATTACCTCCTTGAGTTTCTTGGCCCATGGTTTCTGGGCCTTCTTGAAGCCCTCCTCTGCCTCCTTGGCCTCCTTAAACCCTCCGATCATCTGTTTGTGGTAGGCTTCTTTCTGCCAGTTCTTCACTTTCTCCACGTCTTCGTTCACCAGGTTGTTCTTCACGTCTTGGTGCAGCTCGCTCACCTTCTCTGCCTCCGTCATGACCGCCAGCCAGGCCCGCTCCACTGAGCCGTACTGTGGACCTGCGTAAGGAAACAAGCTGCTGTCAATGACCACAACAGTTTACAGGGATGTTTGGGGAAAACTGTAAGCATCCATGGGTTACAAAGTGGTGAAAAGATAGAACAGTGGCCATAAAAATAAACAATTCAAAGCTAAATGTTGTAATGTGAAAAGTCCTCAAATTGTCGCCTACAACAGGAAACTGAAGCCCATGAATAAGTTGTGTTAATGACATTCTAACTTAATTTCTCATTTGAGATGGAGGGCAGGAGCCTATGGTTGATTCAGTTTTATATTTGCCAGTTTGTTTCAATAATGCTACTCCTTTTTTGCCACAACAGTGAAAATGTATATATTTTCCACCTTAGTTCATTAGTGCTGACAGGGAAGACAATGACGTTTCTGACTTTTTATTTGTGTACTGTGACTGGACCTGTTAATTGCAGCATTGTTAACATAAATCAAGACAGCATCTTTATGAGCAAATTCTACTAGCAAATTCCCTTCTGCCCTGCCTATGCAACATCAAAACACAGTTAACTTTCTTGGTAATTGGTAATAAAACAGTGAGTATGTCTGACCTTTCTCTATGAGCTGTCTCCACCTCTTGCCCCAGGCGGTCAGCTGGTCTCCATAGGCCTTCTCGATCTTGGAGCGCTCCTGCAGGCAGCTCATCAGGTCATTGCACAGTCGATGTCCGTCATCAAACCTTTTGACGGCGCGTTTGTAGTTCCCCACCTGAGCCAGGAAACAACAGAAGAAACAGCAATTTACAACAACGCAATACAGTTATGATCTCAAAGCTCATGAGGGCAAAAGTGATTCTTTCAGTAAAAATAAAAGGTTGACTTTGTTTGCAATGTCAGTGTGCATTTTATATCTTTCCAAGGGCTTGCCAGGTCACTAGAATCAACGTCTTTTTAAAAATATATTTCTAGAAATGCATCAAAACACCCACTGTTACTGACAATAATGTCCTCATACATATTGTAATAACAACTCAACAACTGCCAGCCATAATGACAATTCATTTTGACACGACATTAGTCAGTCTGTCCAGTAACCTCACATGCACTGATCATGTCACTGCAACACGACTTACATCAGAATTGTCATATCTATCACAACATAAATACATCTGAAAACCTCTGCACATACAGAAAGCTTTTACTATTCATAATAATACTAATGCTTCCTTTTCTGTCCACCTTAAGCAAGTCTGCCTTAAAACAACAATCATGTGGCTCCGCCTCTGTGCAGCCTGCAGGGGGCGTTTGCTCATGGTGCATGATAAAGGGAGGAGGGAGAGGGGGCTGGGCTCGTGCTTGTGCATGTGGAGTTATGCAATGCCATGGACCAGTGTGTGTATGTGTATATGTGTGTGCGAGTGTGCGTATGTGTGTGAGTGTGCGCGCTTTAATCCTCTTGAGTGGTGTAATGCAGGCAGACAGATTCAGGGATCCACATGAGGTAAAAACGCACATAAACACTGCCTTCATATTGTGCACCAGACTCTGTCTGTCTGCTCTGTGAATGCACCAGCGCACAGCTTTAGTCTAACAGGTGTATTTTGGTTCAACAACAACAACGCGCAGGTGGACTGACTGGCGCTACTGCTATTTCAAGTGCGTTTCCCCACAACTACAATCCATTCAACAATGTGTGAGTGTGTGTGGAGATGCTATGGGCAGGTGCTGATGCTGAAAGAGCCCTCACAGCTCTCATGACAGAGACTCTTTGTAAGTGCAGCTAACAGCCATGACACAAAGACCACTGTGTACTGAGGGAATTCATTTAAACTCATTTGGCTGAGTAAAAGCACACACAGAAACGCCCCTGCAAGAGTAATGTTATGTTTACGTTCCATATGAGGGCCAAGGAAACGCCATAGTCTGGAAGAGGAATGCTGAAACTGTAGAGAATTTCTGACTAGTAAAAGACTGCACTCTGCATTGTGAATACGAGGATGTTTGTGGTGATTCAGAAGAGATTAGTTTGCACTGAGCCTTCTTCAATACAGAGCAGAATTAGTACAATATATGTTAAACTGAACATACGCAAAAAGAGAGAGAGCATGTGTACAAAGATAATGGTACAATATGTAACTTTTCCTGTCTCCATGAATATGTTATTGATTTCCCTGGACTTGTTTATTCCCATGGTATCGCCACCAGACCAGATCAGGTTGGTAGTGAGGCAATCATGTTCAAGCATATTTTCAAGGTATTTTTGTGCAATAAAAATATCTACAATGTGATCATTTCAAGAATTCTGTTTAACTGTGGAAAATTCTATACTCTCCATGTAGACAAGCAGGAGACCCAACGTAAAAGTGACATTATGCACCTTTAAGGATTATTGCGAAAATCTGACTCCGGATAAAGCGAAAAACGATGGATCAATATGCCCTATTCATGCTTATGTCACAAACCAGGAAGACGTTTGGAAAGATGCGATTACAACTTCTCAGGCTCAGTTTTCTTTATCTATATGTCACTGTAGTGTTCCTTTATGTTCGGCTAATAAACAATTACAACTATACGTCAGTTTTCATCATTTCTCCACTAACACACAACTCTGAGCGCACTGGGTACATGCAATTAGAAGAGATGAAGGCACCTAATTCAAGATGATTCCAAGCAGCACATTTGTATGCAGTCTTCACTTTACCGCTGATCACATTTACTTCAGTGTGTTTTATCACAATCGGTCGGCAAGCCCAGTGTAATTTCTCTTTCAAGTAAACGCTTTAGATAAACAGTTCATGTTTCACATCAGTGTAGGATTTTGAACAGAAATTCCAAATGAGAACTGATCATGTCGGAAACATGATGGAGCTAGACTGACATAAATAGTCATATTTTCAGATGGAGACCTAACTTTGTGGTACATTGACTGTTCATTGTGAAAGAAATTATCCCTATGAAAATTCACAAACACTGAACAAGAGCAGTATAATTTGAGATTCAATTGCACATATCATCTTATTTTTTGTGTGTGCTATTTAATTAAATAGGTGCAGTGATTACAGATACAGTATATTAACCTTAAACCAGGTGTATACATCCGAATTGTCCAATCAAATTCAATCCAATCCAACTTTATTTGTATAGCACATTTAACCAAACAAAACAGTTTCCAGAGTGCCTTACATAGCATTGTAAAACATTTAACTCTAAAAAGTCAGCAGAATTAAATTGAATTGTAAAAGTAAAAATGAAAATTCCACCAGTTGTAATCATAACCTGGTCTTCAGCTCAATTTGAAACAATTGGGCATGTTAGAACACTGTGGTGTCATGTGAACCCAGCCTGTGAAATTATATCAGTGGCTTTGATAAAATCTGTTTGTGGGTTTCAGAATGATGAAAAATTAGGGCTGTGATTAGGGAAATGATTCATTCAAAATTAAATGTTATGTTGCTTGTATTGTGAAAAGTCTGAAACCCATGTACATACAGCATTTCCACATAGCATTAGACTGTCTCATAAGTGAATACATACCTCCCAAAAGCTGTCCATGGTGTCGTCAAAACCCGCACATTCATCGTAGGAGCCCGACATTTTCCTGGATGTGACGAAGAACTGTGACGTCTAAATGTGTCCTCAGCAGAAGAGAAGAGGGTCCTCCAGCACTGCAAGACACAAGTACAAACATTCTGTCAGAGGATAATGCAGACTAACATGAAAAGAGTCACATTGAACTGCAATGTTTTATGACTTAGTAATTTGAGTAGGTTTGACAAAGACCAAATTGTGATTGTGCACTTGGCAAGAGCATCTCCTAACTACAGCTCTTGTAAGATGCTGTCAGTTTGCAGTGGTCAGTTAGTATCCTGCTTGTCCTGGTTTGATCCTGGTTTAAGCCAAGTTTAGTCCTGGTGTAGACTTGGTTTGGTTGTGCTTTATTTCTATTTTTGTTTCCAATTCAGACCCACTTGTTATGTATTCCGGTCACTTTTCTCAGCTGGGACTGTAGACTGTATATACTGTATACAGTCTATGGTCCCAGCTGACAGAAGTGAGGCTGCCAATCGCACCATCAGACTGTCCGACCAACATCAACACTCACACGCACACCACATTCGTAGTGAGGAAAGTGGGCGAAGTGTCTTGCCACTGTGACACCTGGTATTCCCAGCAGTCTCCCATGCAAACAGACCAGGCCCTGCTTAGCTTTGGCTTTGATAAGGAGGTATGGCCTCAATATAGGAGCTGTTGATCTTACTGGTGTGTATGCGTCACTAATGTTGAGGTTGTTTTATTTTTTTGTGTTAACTGCAGGGCAATTGATTCAGTAACCATTTAAAAATAGTATATGTGCTATGCTATCTATGCCTGGAGCATGGTGAAGGGGCATCTTTTCTTGATGTGGCCTAGAAAAACCACCGTAGAGACTGAAGCATCATAGTGCTGACCCTGAATCCATTCTCACTATAGACACTGGTGTTCTGACACATAGCAGCTGAGAGATCCGGGAACAAAAGCTACGCAAATTCATTCACCAAGTTCAGCAGGCCAGAAAAACCCACACGGAGGACTTCATTTCACGACAAAAAAAAAAAAAAAAAAAACTAAAAAGCTACATGCACTAGAACAATTTAATGATTTATGAATGATGTTGATCCAGATTTTAACGTAAAGATGCACTGTGTAACTTTTCTGGAGGAGGGTCCACCGACTACTTGTCTCATAGAAATGTTATTGATTTGCAGTAAGGTATCATTTGCATTGATTCAATTACAGGTATCTGTAAAATCGTACTGGACCTTGAGGTGTCACCGTGGAGATAGATAAGTTTAATGCCATACTGTGGAACACTCCAATGAAGCAATAAATGAAGACAAACTTGCTAAACATGTAAAAGCTATTCTAAAAAAACATGTCTAATTCATATTGTAACTCATGTAAACATTCAGTCTAAGAGCAATGACTGATATAAAAAGAGTGCGTTGCCAGAGCAGGATTCCCTCGTCAGCTTTTAAAATGATTTATAGCCGTGTGACAGGAGCTCGATATCTCTCCACCGATGGACACTGTATTAGTATTGAGCCTTGTTTGAAGAATAATCCATTTTGATCACATGACGAATGCTTTTGTCTCAACAGGGAGCTCCTTCAAAGCAGGGCAACAAAACAGCTGGTTACATTGCAAAAAGATACTTCAGAAGATTTGGAATCGTCATAAGGAACACCCCTACCTCCATCAGGCCAACTTAGATTTATGAAGAGGTGATCCCACTCATAGCGAGAATGCGTGTTTTTAGTGTACCTTTAATATTCAAAGGATTCATATTTGGCATGTAAAATTTGCTGTAATGACGCCAAAAGAAAATGTAATACTATTACTACTAATACTATTCGTTTTAAACATGAAATTTGTGCTTGATTTGCAGCCTTTTGCTTCTGTATTAGAACTTAGAAATTAGAACTAACCAAATATTTACAGTGCAGAGCCACATAAATCATCAGACAGGATTTTCTCGATGATGCATTAAAAAACAAAAAGTCTGCGTCTGGATATTTGACTCTTTCACTTTTGCTAAACTCAGCAGCCTTGTTTTGGGACTGTGTCTGGGACTGTCTGTCACACTTTTGTGTTTGCTCCAAAATGTGACTAAATAAATAAATAAATGTTAACAGACCAACAGCTCATCTGATATTCCTCTACTTTCTTTTGGATTTCCTCTTCTGCTGATACTTGCAAAGAGGAAGTTGCATCTATTTTCTGGCATATGCAGTATGTTACACAACAGGTGTCCTATACTTTTCAGATTTGTAAATGTGATCATGGCATACCCCCAGATAGGATTCAAGAGCCACTTTAAGCTTAGAAATTGCACCAAGAGTATTCCTTCTCCGCATAGGGATTGTTAATTTAAAAGACGTTTTCTGATTGAGGATCTGCTTCCAGCTTGTCTCCATGGAGATGTTATATTCCACAGTGTACCAGTAGGCTTTTCTATCTTACAATTATTTAATTACAGATAGTTTAAAAAGCATGCACGGTAATGGAGAGTGAGTTGAATCCCTTGCTTGTCTCAAATGAGATTGATCAGTTCAATGTCTTACTGTAGAAAATTGTTGGCAAGGCAATAATAATAACAGGATGGAGATAGACAGGTGGTAGACTATACACCAGAAAAGTTACATAGTGCATCTTTAATGGGCCCATATTCCACTATTTTCTGACTTATGTTATAATGTTGTTTCCTCATTAAAAATGTACCTGGCGTTTTGTTTTGTTTCATTCACATGTTTAACACACAAACCCTTCATATTTAGGCCGAGTTCTTCTCTCAAACAGAAAACACTCTGTTCCACCTTTTAATGTCATGTAGTAATACAGGAAGTGCTCCACTGTGTTTTTAAACTCCATACACCTTCACAAGATTCATTTGGATGATTTCAACCAGGAATTTATTATTTCTGCTGAACAAAAGGTAAAAGGTAGCTGTTAACCTGAAAACTACCACTACATGACATCACAAGGTGGAAAAGAGCATTTGGAGCTTTGGAGATGTACAGGCAAATAATGCAGGATTACTCAAACATGTGTGAATGTATGTTTTTGAAGAGGTAACAGCATTATAACATGTCTTAAAGCTCACAAGAATCAACGTTATGTAATATAGGACCTTTTATCGTTCAGGTGTATAGTGAACGCACTTTTCTCTCTTAAAACCTGAAAATTATGCATCAAATCAACACTCAAATTGATGCTTTGATGACTGTCTCCCACCTGCCGGCAGATCTTTTAAGTAGTGTGTCCTAATCTGAACAGGGAAGAAAAACTGTTGTCTCTTTTTTGCTCATATCAGCGAAGCACCAATTAACGTATGGCTTTGTGACCATAACACCCAGTGACATTAAAGCTGCTAAGCTTCGGGCAAGAGGCCAGAGAGTCAGCGCAAAACAAAGCAATGCAACTCATGTCTACCTATCTCACAATGTTACCAATACAGCTGTCTTATATGCATTTTATTGCCCTAAAGCTACTATATATGAGTAAGCTACATGGTGATTTTGCTAGTATTTCAGTGAACAAAGGGATAATACTACTTTGAAATTACTTGTATACCTTATTGCATTGGAGAGATAAATATATAAGGTATCATTTTGAAGTTGGTGTGTAACACATGTGGGTGGGGGTCTTTGCATGCTATTTATGGCAGTTCACCTGGTTAAATGAAGAGATATGGCATTGTAGAAAATAAAGTACAGAATTACAAATGAGATTTCCTCACAAATGCATTTTAATAGACCTCTGTAAAGAAGTCTGAATTGCTTTTAGTGGCTACTAAATTAATGTCATGCTCTTTACAAGTTCAAATATTGGGCAAAGTTTGTAAGATGTCCACATACCTTCTCCATCTTGACAAAATAGGAAAACCAATCTAAAGCTTAAGATAACTCCAATAGTAGATTCTGTGCGTTCTAATAAGTGGTACAATCCAATGGTCTCCTTCTTGTAAAGAAAGTAGTGTAGAAAGTAGAATTTTGCAGCTTGGACCAGTCTATCCAAAGTGGAGCGCTAAGACTGATCACAGCAGCATGTCTCTGAGGCTGGGGATAATCCTGCAGTGTGCCACTTGAATAGCAGAAGGGGGAGGGAACAGAGAGGACGAGCATAGGACACCATTGTGTTATTCTATAGTGACCACATACTAATAATGAGGCTCATTTGCATGAGTCAATAGCCTGTGAATTATTAGTTAGGCTGGTAAAGCTGTTTAGTTGTGCATTATAATGCACAAGGATATTTGGGTAACTTTATAATGACTAGACTTTTAATAGCTTTAATGACACATAAACAAAGACTTCATTCATTTCATTATGACCAAACTGTTTATTAATAGTATATTAATGATCGAGGCTTGGTAAATACTTCATTAATACTCTAACCCTAACAGCTAATTAAGCAATTAACAAGCCTGATCATCATTCTTTCATTTAAGTCTACTTTATATAGGTTAATAGTGTAGTTATTATAAAGTGGTTCCTATATTTGTTGTATTCACCTCCCTTAACTTCTAAAATAGTTGAAAGTTTGCACTCATGTGGGGTTTTAAAAAGTTTTAGATTGATATATGCTTAGATTGTTATGACATTCCAGGCCATGACATGACATGTTCATGCTGTTTGTTATTATATTAAAGTATACTGTTTTCAATGCAAAATGTCTCAAAAAATCTTTACAACCACAGGATTCAATTTCAGAAGATTTTTCTGCAATATAATAATATGTACCCCTAACCTATATGAAATCAGTGCCTCGTCAGAGGCTTGATAAGTCATGTCATCATGTCTATTTACAGAATATACTGGCAAAAGAACATACCAAAACTTTTTTTCTTTCTGCAGTAAAAGTAAACACACATTAGTAAAACAGTCTGATACATGACAATAGCTCCACAGGACAACCTAAGCATTAGTTGTCCAGGCCTGAATGGGGAGCACCACACACTCATAAGCCTGTTAGAGTAAGAAGATTTTCAGAGATGAACTAACTTTACTCCTGCTTCTTTTCCTCCCCACAGCCCTGGAGCGAGCAGCTCTTATGAA